TCTGTTGGCTACATTGAGGTAGTTGGATGTTCCCTCTGAAGTCTTTTACTTCCTTGCCTGTTCCCATCATTCTGGAATCTACTGTACTGCTGGTTCCTGTTCCTACTCCTCAAGAGAAGCTGACCGCAAGGCAAAGAGCATAAGCAGAAGAGCAGAGCACCGCAGAGGCTGGCCGGGAGCTCCAGCTCCAGGGACCGACGGAGCCAGGCTCAGAGCATTCCTCTGCTACAACCCTGCTTTGTGATGATGGTCAAGTTAATTAACTTCTCAGAGCCTTGATCTCCCCCTTTGTACAATGGGGGACCTTCCTCAAAGTTGCTGCATGGACAAAACAAGAAAACACCGGTACAATGCACCAAAATGTTCTCAGTGGTTATTTCTGAATTGTATGAGTTTGCTGTCTTTGACTTTTAAAATATTAATGTATGCATGGTTATATATATATTTAAAAATGATAAAGCTGTTTTATATTGTGCTGATGGACAGTGACTGCAATGGGGTGGAGAGGACTTGATAATATGGGTGAGTGTTGGAATCATAACATTGCTCATGTGAAACCTTCATAAGATTGTGTATCTATGATACCTTAATTAAAATAATAATAAAACTGTTTTCAGAAAAAAGGAGGAAGTGTCGTGCCAGGGTGCACACCTTGCCCACAGCTTCTGGATGAAGTTACAGCCACCTCAGGAAAAGGCTGTGTCCCACTGACCTTTTCTTTTTAATAAAGTAGCTACTATTCCTGAGCCCAGCACTTTACAGAGATGGGGTCAGCTCACTTCCACATTAACACACTATAAGGCAGTAATTTTGATATTTACATTTACAGAGGAATTAATGCAGGTATATAAAAGTGAGGGAATTTGTCCAAGCCCACACTGGCAGCATTTGAACCTACCTGGGGTTTCAGGGCCTGTACTCTGCACCACTACCTTCCCCTGGGTGCCAGTCAGCTTTGGGGCCGAGGTATGCCCCCACATCATCCCTTTACTGCCACCTTCTGGAAGGGCACAGGGACCCAGACCTTGGCGGATGTCCCCGGGCAGTAATTTACTGTTGTAAACAATCAGGGCTCTCCTGGCCCCACAGCTGAAGAGGCTACAATTCAGATATGCTGCAGAAGGGGCCTCCCTAAAAGTGGAGAAAGAGTGAGTGTGGCTGGGGTGCGATCCCGAGGCAAGTGTCCCCAGATGACTTGTCTCGTTCACCAAGGGCTGCACTGGCTTCTCTGGGGGCTGCTGGTGACTGGTGACAGCCCAAAGGAGCAGGGCCAGCCCTGGCCTCAGAGCCAGGGACCCGGTTTCCCCTCCAGGCTCTGCTGCTAATCATTACAAGGCCTGACGAATGCCCATCCTTCTCTAGGGATCTGTGAAAAACAGGACTTCTAGGCCTCTGTGCCTTAACTTCTCAAATAAAAAGCTCAGTGTTAAAAAATGGCATCCAGGAACACTCAAAATAAATTTCCATTTTCTGCGTCAAAGGCTTGAATTCCACCTCACCACTCCACAGGCCCCTAACTTGGGTATTTTCATTCCCCTCAAAATAACCTTCTCACAAAAGGCACCTGCAAACTACCATGTTGGCCCTTCAGTGGAGGGGACGCTTTTATGCTCAGCAAGGAGTCACCATTAGCACACATTACAGCAGATTTTAGAAAAGCCCCTGGGAAGACCGAATGCCACAGGAAAGCCACAGAGCAAGCGTGTACTCAGGGGACCCTGGGCACCCTGACACTCCAGACCTCAGAGCCCCTTGGCCAGGAGAGAGTCTGCGACGCACCAGGCAACGCATCACAACTTTCTGGATCACTGACGTGAATCGCAAGAAGACTCTCGTGCGTTCTCTGGGATACTCTGACTAAGGACCAAGAAGAAAAGGCTGACTTTTAAAAACGTAGTATGTGTAAAATATTTCAGGTCTAAATCTATATGAGCAAGGGCTGCTGCAACAAATTACCATAAACTTGGTGGAGTAAGATGACAGAACTTCATTCTCTTTTTCAGACGTGCTCTGTGATCTCCCCAGTGGAATGGTAGCCACATTTCTAGGTTGAGGGGAACAGGGAGGTGCAGACTCTCAGAGACAGATGAACCTTTGTGGGAAATGGAAAAGGGCAAGGAAGCAAAGTAGGATTCTTGAAAGAAAAGGAACTTTGGGATCAAACAATGGGGAGTAATAAACAGCTTCCACTTCTGGTGGGAACTCTGACTGACAGACTGGTAAGCAGTTTCTGGGGATGCTTGTGTGGAGGACTCCAAGGCCGTGTATAGATTCCCCTCTCCTAAAGGATGCACCCCAAAACTACTAGAGCTAATAACTGAATTCAGCAAAGTTGCAGGATAACACAATTAATACACATAAATCTATGGCATGCCTATATACTAACAAAGAACTAGAAGAAAGTCAGAAAAACAATTCCATTTACAATTGTATCAAAAAGAATAAAATACCTAGGAATAAACCTAACCAAGGAGGCAAAAGACCTATACCCTGAAAACTACTAGACACCCATGAGAGAAATTAAAGAAGAGACCAATAAATGGAAATACATCCCGTGCTCATGGGTAGGCAGAATTAATATTGTCAAAATGGCCATCCTGCCTAAAGCAATCTACTATCAAAATAACAACAGCATTCTTCAAAGAACTAGAACAAAGAGTTCTAAAATTCATATGGAACTTCAAAAGACCCCAAATAGACAAAGCAATCCTGATAAGGAAGATTAAAGCAGGACGATTATGCTCCCCAATTTCCAGCTCTGCTACAAAGCCACAGTAATCATGACAATTTGGTACTGGCACAAGAACAGACTCATAGATCAATGGAACAGACTAGAGAGCCCAGATACAGACCCACACATATATGACCAATTAATGTATGATAAAGGAGCCATGAACATACAATGGAGAAATGACAACTCTTCAACAACTGGTGTTGGCAAAACTGGACAGCTACATCTAAGATGATGAAACTGGATTACTGTCTCACTCCATATACAAAAGTAAACTTGAAATTGATCAAAGACCTGAATGTTAAGTCATGAAAACATAAAATTCTTAGAAGAAAACAGAGGGAAAAATCTCATGAATATAAACATGAGCAATGTTTTCCTGAACACATCTCCTCAGGCAAAGCAAACAAAAGCAAAAATGAACAAGTGGGACTACATCAAACAAAAAAGTTTCTGTACAGCAAAGGACACCATCAGTAGAACAAAAAGGCATCCTACAGTATGGGAGAATATACTGGTAAATGACATATCTGATACGGGGTTAACACCCAAAATATGTAAAGAACTCACAGGCCTCGACACCCAAAAAGCAAATAACCCAATCAAAAAATGGGCCCAGGATATGAACAGACACTTCTCCAAAGAAGAAATTCAGATGGCCAACAGGCACATAAAAAGATGCTCCACATCGCTAATTATCAGGGAAATGCAAATTAAAACCACAATGAAGTATCACCTCACGCCAGTTAGTATGGCCAACATCCAAAAGACAAGGAACAAATGCTGGTGAGGATGTGGAGAAAGGGGAACCCTCCTACACTGTTGGTGGGAATGTAAATTAGTTCAACCACTGTGGAAAGCAATATGGAGGTTCCTCAAAAAACTAAAAATAGAAATACCTTTTGACCCAGGAATTCCACTCCTAGGAATTTACCCAAAGAAAACAAGATCCCAGATTCAAAAAGAGAGATTCACCCCTATGTTTACCGCAGCACTATTTACAATAGCCAAGATATGGAAGCAACCTAAGTGTCCATCAGTAGATGAATGGATAAAGAAGCTGTGGTACATATACACAATGGAATATTATTCAGCTGTAAGAAGAAAACAAATCCTACCATTTGCAACAACATGACTGGAGCTAGAGGGTATTATGCTCAGTGAAATAAGCCAGGTGGAGAAAGAAAAGTACCAAATGATTTCACTCATTTGTAGAGTATAACAACAAGCAAAACTGAAGGAACAAACCAAAAGCAGACTCACAGACTCCAAGAAGGGACTAGTGGTTATGAAAGGGAAGGTGGTGGGGAGGGAGGGAGAAGGGGATTAAGGGGCATTATGTTTAGCAGACATAATGTAGTGGGGGGCACGGGGAAGGCAGCGTAGCACAGAGAAGACAAGTAGTGACTCTATAGGATCTTACTATGTTTATGGACAGTGACTGCAATGGGGTGTGTGGGGGAGACTTGATAATATGAATAAATGTAATAACCACAGTGTTGCTCATGTGAATCCTTTATAAGACTGTATTTCAATGATACCTTAATTTAAAAAAATTCCCCTCTCCTTTCTCTTTCAAAGATACTGGTCACTGGATTTAGGGTTCCTCCTAAATCCCGAATGATAGCATTTCAAGATCCTGAATTAATTAAATCTACCTTAATTTAAATGACATATCTGTCATTTAAGGGCTTTCTGTCCCTTAAACTATACCTGAGCACTGTCATTGGAAAGAGCCCATTTCCAAATAAGGTCATATTCTGAGATTCTTTGTGGACCTGACTTTTGGGGGGACACTCAAACCAAACCAGTACAAGTACCATGATGGCTTAGCAAGCCTGACAGAGGTTCAGGACTGGCAGGGGTTGTACTCATGTTTTCTACCTACTATCCTGATCAACCCAAATTCAAGCTTTACAGATAATGGACCTCAGGCCCAGAGAATAAAAGGGTCTTGCCCAGCATCATACAACCAGGTAATGCCACAGCAGACAACAATAAAGAAGAAGAGGATACAGAGGTGAGGTGCAGGGGATATACATAGGAGGTGCAGGGCTGAGGGGGTGGGAGATGAGGATGAAATTCAGTGGTGGGATAACTGAGACAGGCATTTTTGCATTTGAAATCATTGTTTAAAGAGGGTCTAGATGGGTCAAAAAACAACTAGCCAATTAGAGAGAAAATACAGCAGTCTTGGAAGAAATAGTACCATTCCAAGGATTGGTTTGCAGGGGACTATTTTCCCTTTTTTGGCCAAAGGAAAGAGCTCCTCTCACTGGGCAAAAGCCTTTCCAGACTGGTCCCTGAAAGCATCATGCATACAGATGCCTGCTGGTTGCCATGGTGAATGATGCTGATCTGAAGAAATGAATAATGTGAGCACTGGGGGCGACAGTGGGATTACTCAGACCAGCTAGAGAGACATCAAGGAGAGCCCAGAGCAGAGGAGGGGAGAAGCCACTATCAGCTTTCGTCTGCTCTGCCTCTGAGCGCTGTGCTCTAACCAGATCCACCACAAGCATCAGGTAAGGGACATAAACGGCTCTTCTTGGAGATGGAAGTGGCTTTTCCTTTTACACTCTGTTTGGAAGAAGGCCGGGCAATGGTAATATGAATATCTAAAAATAGGGGGAATTTAGAAACAGAAGCAAAGGAAGAAAAACAAGTAAGGGTGACTGACTTGGCTCCCAAAACTGGCGACGATGCTGGTGTTTTGACAGAAAGCCCTTAAAAATGTCTGTTGTCAGGAACTCAGTCTGCAGACAGCCAGGAGCAGATGCAAGGCAAACAGGAGAAAAGATTAATGAAAAGAAACAGGATTTCTGATCACCCGCGATGGAAGGGTTTTACGAAGGTCATTGCCTCTGCATCTTAAGTAATGAATTAAGCTCTTTTTACTGTGGTCAGAGGTGTGTTTATGGGGATGTGTGGGGTGGGGTGGATGGATGTGTATAAGAAGGATCCGGACAGAGGGAGTGTGAATATGCAGTCTCCTTTGCAATGACCTTCCCTGGAGGGATCTGAGCACACCTCTCTCGTCCTTCATCATTACCCATGCTTCTGGGAAGAAATTTCCAGCCAAATAGAAGGGAACTATACCTGAGCACTTCAGTTCACTGTCATCCTTAGAGAAGAAAAACAAGGATTGAAAAATCACTCAATGCTATGCATTTTCCTGCAACTCACCTCCTCTAGGAATATGGGCATGAAAACAAAAGGTTGGAGGGAGGAGAGAAAGCAGCTCGTAATGGAAAACAGTTTGGCTTACTATTTAATTCAGATTAAAATCAGATCGACTGATTTTCTTCCTAATCATTGTAATCTAAAACAAAACCTTCTGTATTTCACGTGGGAGAAGAGGTGCAGAGAATAGAGCTGCATGAGACCCATATGTGAACACACACAGGCTGAAAATGGCTGTCCCTGAATTTTAGATTCGGGGAAATTCAGTGGAGGGCAACTGTATCTCTCAAAGAGATAGAATTCAGGAGAGACTCAAAAGGCTTGAAGAAGGCTCTCTCCTACCAAAGCAAGAGGGCTGGCAATCTGAAGAGGGTTCATTTGATTTATCTGGAAAAACAGCAGTTGGGTCTTAGTACCAGCATCTCATTTCACAATCACTTTCTATCACTGAACCCAGCAGCCTTGCATTTGGAAATCCAGTGGTTAAGTTGCTTTGAGTCTTTCTCTTACCTGTTAGCTGAGTGATATCAGATTGCTCATCTGCAAAATGGGGATCTAGCTCAGAGGGTGTGATGGAGAATAAAGGAAATTTATTGTATGTTAAGCATCTAGCATGACCTGTGACACTGCAACTACTCACTCATGTTTGGTTATTACCATTATCAACATTCATATACCAGTAATATCGTTAAATAGTAGCAGTTATGCTGGTATTAGCAGCTGACTGTCTTGACCTGTGAAACTAATTTCCTGGGTATCTTGGGCTTTGAACAAACAAAACATGAGCAGAGGCTTTGGGAAGAAATCAGCTGCCAGTGAGTGATGACGCAAATCTTCTCTATGGGCAACAGAACTGGGAGGCTAAAAAAAGCAGCGGGCAGAATGTTCTAGATGACTGAGCTTGCAACACCTGGAGCAGAAGCGGGAGGTCCAGGGGGGCTACTGTAGGTGAAACAACTGCTTGTCTTAGAGCTCACAGACCTCTGGTGACTAAAGGGGGGATTCTGAGTTGTCCTGATTGCTCCTTTGATTGCCTTTTTTCTCCTTTTTTTAAGGGTTGTGAACAATGTTGTGCTTGAAGGCTGAGCCAGGCAGGGTGAGGCTGAGGGATGTGGGCCTGAAGTCCTCCAGCTTCGGCCTGAGACAGCCGTGATCTGCACTTTTGTTCTTGGTTTCTCAGTTATGCCTAGCTGAGTAACATGATCTCCTGGCTTCCATTCCTTTGTCTGTAAAATGGGGGCAACATTAGTCCCCATCTTGAATGTCCAGTAAAGGTGACTATGATTATCCTAACTGATTACTACGTGAGGGGCTGTCATGCTCTTTGATTCTGGTTTCAGGATCAGGATGAACATCGAGGTTGGGAACGTGTCTTATACGGGAGCCATCATTTCCTGGTCGTCCTCGGAGCCCTGCCTGGAGGACTATTACCATATTATGTACAGGCCCAACTGGAACAGCATCTTCTCCGGCTACCTTCGCTACAGCTTCCACCACGAGGAGAAGGTGCCTCGCACCATCAGCTCTGTGGTGCTGGAACACCTCGCCCCTTCCACCCTCTACTTCCTGTGCATCAGCTGCAAGAAGATCGCCTTCCCCTACAGGCACTACTGCACCATGTTCCACACCCTGGATAAGAGTCCGCTGGCTGCAGGAAGCTCCCTGGTGGACCCCCAAATCTCCCTTTGGGTGCTGATGGCCATTCTGCTGGCCTGCTTCACGGCCGTCTTGGCTTTCATCTGCTTGCAGTTTTGGTGCATCCGCTGCCATGAGCCTCGCTGGTCTTACCGAGCCGGCCACATGGAGGAAGCCAATGGGTTGGTGAGATGGCCAGAGGAGGCCCCAGCTCTTGGCCACAGGGACGAAGATGTGCAGGGGCTCCCCCTGGAGGAAATGCCACGCAAGAACTCCGGAGTCGAAGCGGAACCAGGAGCTGGAGCCCAAGCCGATGCCGCTGCCGCCCGGGATGCCCCTGACGTGCGTGCCTTACAGAGGGAGGGTGGTGACCGTCCGGCCATACTGCCTCGTTTTGGGGAGTAACAGGTGGGGAGGGGGCAGCTCCACACAGTAGTCTTCTGTAAAATGTGCTTCTAGACTATATGTCTTGGTTCATTCCACTTCCAAGTCTTGGGCTCCTGACCTCGAGGAGGACCATTTCTAACACCGTTGTATTTTCCAGGTTAGTTCCTCTTCTAAGGCCATCTGTGCTTACTTTTTGAAAAGGAGGTCAAAGTTGGCCATTTTTATTCCATCACAAAGAAAATCGTTGGCTTTGCTGTTGTTGACGTGTCACCTTACAGTGGGTTCTCGCATACACACGGTACCTATTTACAGCGTTGGTGAGACTTTGTGAACGTCGTCCCCCTTTTCCCACCCTGGTGTGGAAATGGAACTTAAGGAAAGTAGAGATAACACCTGTTTTAATCTCTGATGCATCCCAGCATACAGAATCTAGCCCAGTTGGATCTATAGTGGGGTACTTAATAAACGTCTGCTTAATGACTGGCAAAGGACTGAAGGTCTAGATTAGGGCACCATCTGGGAGGTACAGTCGGGATGTGTGCTGTGAACAAGGCAGCAACGAGAAGAAGGCCTGTCTCCTAGCTCTAGCTCCCGCTCCCGCCTTCCGGGATTTCCTTCAGCCTCTGCCTTCCCAACCACGTCCTGTCTGCCAATCCCTTATTTTATGGGGCACAAAATCCCAGAATCACAGGATGATACTGCAATGAATCAGTCGACCAACTGGAGGAAGTGGATGCCAGGATGAGAAGCCCTACATGCCCATCTCCCCGCTCACCTCAGTGAAGTCCTTTCTGGTAGTTCCTGCCCAAGATCCAGCCCCCCAGGTCTGTGTGCACCCCTACCCCTGCTAGCAGCAACAAATAAAGATGAATATACTCGCAGTTGTTTCTGCTTGGATCTCACTGCTGCCTCTGTGTCGGCACCTTCTTGCTTTTCTGATGCAGGGGACACTATGCCATTTGTTCTTTCCCACTAGCACCTCTTGGAAGTAGGACAGGGGAAAGACTACGTACCTTGGACCCATAGAGGTAATAAGGCTGGACGTTGGCAGGTTTATCTCTTTGTGGTTCTTGGGTGAAAGGAATGGCAGTTCGGACAAAACTAGTAGGAGACAAAAGAAGGGGCAAGAATTAACTGGGTCCTAATATTCTTCTTCACGGGACACGTTGGAGTGGGAGCCTTTCTTGACCAGGTACAATCACACAGTTTCTTAGGTGGCTGCCTGTAAGGGTACTAAACCCTCTGACAAACCCATTCAATTATTGTCTCCTTTGCAGAGATGGGCAAACAGCAGTCCAGATTCACAGGCTGGACTCTGGACTTGTGGCTGCTCAGAAGGACAGCAGGCAAGAAAGTGAGAATGAACTGGGCCTGAAAACAGCCTTCTCCAGGGCTCTATCCCTTCACCCCCAGCCTGGTTTCTTAAGAGCAGGATTCTGCAGACTCTTTCTGCAAGCCAGATGGTCTCTATCGCAATCACTCTGCTGGTGGTGTGAAAGCGCCCCTAAATGTGAATGAGTAAACATGGCTGAGTGCCAATAAAACTTTGTGAATTTCAAATATCTTCCACTTACTACCAAATAACATTCTTTGGATTTTTCCCCAACCATTTAAAAAGTCAGCATACTCTTAGCTCATGGGCTACACAAAAACAGTTGGCAACTAGACACAGCTTGTGGGCCAGTTTAAGGATGTCTGATGGAGAGGATCAAGTCTCAAATCTTTAGAGAACAGGAAGTCTGTTGTGCTAAGTGTGTGGATTCATGCTCATATGTAGGTACCTCCCAGAGCATTCCATTCATTCAACATAATTATTTAATACTGGCCATGAGCCAGGCCCTGAGGATAGTGACAGGACCAGTCCACACATGCATTTTTGCATATTCTTATGTTATTGTTTTATACATGAATATATGTTTTACCTCTTCTATCAGACTTTAAATCTCTGCAGGGATAAGGCATTAAGTCTTGTCTCTACCTTAGTGCCTGACCCAGGGCTGTGTGCACCTCGCAGGAGACATGTTCTGCTGGGTCATGAACATGTGTGCTCTGCAAATGTATGCCTATTTTGCATGAATGTGTTCACATGTGTGGATGTCCTCATAAAAGTACAACCTGGTCAGGTCACTCTCCTTGCTCAAGCCCTTCCAAGGCTCATGAATGCTTGAGCCTCAGGTGGCTGGCGGAGCAGCGCACAGTCTGGCTCCTGCTATCTCCTGCATCCTGCCTTGTCTCTTGTGGCGTCATTCCCTATCCCCTCTGCTCCCCCCTCACCAGCCAAGTACTCTTCTCCTGCCATTCTGCCTTATTTACTCCAACTCATTATTCACATCTCAACTCAAGCATTACTTCCTTGGAGGAGGAAGCCTGTCTGAGGTCTGCAGCTGCTGGGACTGGATCACGTGGTACCACTTTCTCTCTCCTGGTGGCATGCTTTTCTCCACCTCCAGGTTCACTGGTTATAACAACACATTTGTTGTGCAGCTGTTTGATCACCTTGTCCTCCTCTAGGCTGAAGGCTCCAAGAGGCAGGACCAGGTCTGCTTGTTCCCCATGTCACCCCACCTCCGGCACAGAGCCTACACCTGGGATGGGCTCCAGGAGGCATTTGCTGCATGAATGAACTGACCGTCTGTGCTGGGCCTAGCTTGGAGGAGGCAGTGGGCTGCTCTCTCTGCCCCCACCCTGCCCAGCCCCCTTTGCAGAAGGACTCCCTTACCGGTTGGTGGACCCATTGTAGCAGTAGTTGGGGAGGAAGTCAAAGTTCAGCTCCCAGAAGACGTGCAGGGTGATGCGGCCATAGGGCGCAGACACGTTGTGATTGGCCTCCCGGAACATGGCATCAAAGCTGTCCAAGGTCATGTGCTTACACAGCAGCCGGTGTGTGAGCCGGTTGATCTCCAGCAGCCATTCCAGCTCCTGCCCAGAGAGAGAAGCATGGCTGCTTCGGCCTTCCACACACCTTACACACATGTGCTGCTCTATTGTGCAGATTCCTTTCAGGCAGGTGAGAGCCCCTCAGATGACCTCCTAACTGCTGATATGAAGACTAGGGCCCCCAGAGTGACATGTGACAACATCCCCTTCTTCTGAGGAGTGGCAATATTGCCAAACTATGCTGAGGGAGGCTGCATGCCTGCTCTGAGAAGGGGACCACAGATCATAGCAAATGCCCTGTCTGCATACTTGGGGTACTACTTACTTACTATTAGGTTGGATCATATGAAACTACTAGCTCTTCAGGTCAAATGCCACCAAGTATTAGTAATTTCATATGGTTCAATCTAACATGTGCCAAGCAGTATCCTAAACACTTTACATGTGTACTTCATTCAGTGCTCAGAAACTGCTGAGGTCAGCATTCCAATGTCCTTTCTCTACACATAAAGGAACTAGGGCTTTGAGAAGTAACTTGGCTTCAAAAGCAGGAAGTTGGCCCCCAGAGTCTACAAACCACTATATACTACAGAAATTTTTAGAAGAGCTGCAGCAGTACACCCCCTCTGGGGACTCCTCCCATGTCCCTCAGTCACACAGGGGTTGGGTACACACACTGGCAAAGGGGCAGCTGTGAGCCAGGCACCAAGGACCTGTGTGAGGCGCAGGCCCTGACCGTTTAGGATCCCACCTTCAGGCAGAGAGCGGCAGCAGAGTGGGGAATATGTGGACATTACACGTCACTGCATTTGTGGGAAGGTAAAAGGACAGTGAAACCCTCTGGGCTCACTTTAGTCCCTGTTGCACTGCTGTCAAAAAGACCCAAAGCATAATCTTGTGCAGAGAGAGAAGGCATTTTCTTGTGATGCTCAAGGACACTCCTCTATGGTGGGTAAGCCATCTGTTGAGGTGGGTACTGCCCCCATTTCATGGAGGGGAAAACCGAGGCCCAGCAGGTGAAGAAACTTGCCGGAGATCACCCAGGGAACACAGGGTTTAAGAAGTGACCCCAGGTCTCCTGATTCCAAATCACATGTTTGACCTCCTTGACCCAGCTGCCTGGAATAAAGAAGCAACTGCTCAGAAAGCCCTTTGAAAAGTAAAGATGGTTTTACAACATAAAAGCTAAAAAGACACACCCAGGAGTGAAAGGGCCAGCTTTAATGGCCGGGACACGATGCTAAGTTGTTTATGGTCACAGGAGGCAGCCCCACACCAGGGCTTCAATTTTATTCTTATCAGTCACAAGACCCCCCCTAATACTGTTTGGGGTCCCAGGTAGGGCTTCTCAGCCAAAGCAAGTAGGGACCATCTGAGCCCATAGGAGAGAATGTCCTTGGGGGCTCCTCCACGTGGGCTCCCCAGGAAGGGCCTACTCTCCTGGGGCCCACGGTCCTCACCTGATAAACACAAGCTTGGTTTCGTTCCCAGCCAAAACTGGTGTGCTCAAGCAGAGACCCCAGACCACGCTTCCAATCTTGGAGCTTTGTCGGTCTGAAACTCAGAATCTGTGGCTCTCAGTTAGGGCTACAGAACTAGATCAAAGCTTGCAACTTGGATGCTGCAGTGATCAGACAGGTCAGATATGTGAGACAAGCTGGGGTGGGAGGAGGCCTGGGGCTGGGCTCTCTGTGCACTGGAGAGCCCTTGCTGTTCAGGGGGGAGCTGCTACTGAGCCCCATCCAATGGCTGCCACGCCAACTGTCGCCATGTTGCAATGGGACTTAGTGATGGCAGATCCTGCCATATTTCAACAAAAGGTAGAAACCTCGATTTTAATTCTGGAATAGCAGCTGGACTCCCAGTCATTGTGTACCATGAAGAAGCTGAACAGCAGAAATATAGAATCAGCTCTCCACTTCTGTCTTCTGAGGCCTAGCTAGCTGGACTGTCTCTTTGTTGTTGTTCATTTAGAGAGGGCAAAAATTTTTTTAAATAAATAAAATAATAAATGGAATAAATGCTAATGAGTTTATTTCTAAAGTCACTGAGTGCCCTGGCACACTGCGGTGGCCTGTCACCGGGAAGATGTCTGCAGATGAGAAACTGGGGAACAATTTCTGTTCTAGTGTTCTGGGATTTTAACAGTCTCACAAATGCACGTCAGTGTTTACGAGGGAGACTGAAGGAGAGAACACCCAACTCTGCTGATGTGGGGCTCCTGGACGTGTAGGTCCACTGCTTCCATCATGCTACAGTATAGAGTGTTTGTTACATAATCCAAACCATGTTTTTGCATCAGCTGTAACCCTCTAGCCTTTAAATCAGAAGAAGGTACTTGGGTGTGGGGTGCCAGGCTCAGTGCATCAAGGCTCAGGTTTAGAAGGCCACATGAGTTGTTCGGAAGCCTTCTGAGATGGTATCTTTCTTTAATAAAGTCAGTTCAGTGAGGGGCAACAGAAAGTAGCAGAACTGGGAAAATAAAACACCTAACTGGGCAACTTCTGTGAAGTAGTGGGAAGAGTTCTTCAGGGAACTAGAAAACCTTAGCAGCTCGGTGGCCCCAGGTAGAGAAGAACAGGGGTCTTGACCTCGGGCACACAGAGGCCTGATAGGTCACACACATGAATGAGCCTGTGGGCACACCCAGCTAATGGGAACATCTGGTCACTTCTAGGGAACTGCTGCCTTCTGGGAAGGCCGATGTGATGTTGCCAGAGCTTCTGCAGTTTTATTCGAATTCTCCTAAATGTTAAATGTTGGTTCAAAATTTCAAATATGCTCTGCAGCTGAAACAAAACACAGCTTGCAGGCTGCTAGCTCTCAACTTCACATGTGATCCTTCCGAGAATCTTTTTGCTCAGCTGTGCAGGATGAGGGTGACTGACCTAGGAAGTCTCTGTAACGCTCCTCCCACCTTGGCATAGAGCCGCCCTGTCTCAGAATGGAGTTTTCTAAGGTGGAGGGAAGAGCAGAGGGGAGCACATTCTTCGGTTTGTTTCTCAGAAGAGGTAGAAGCTTCTCAGCCAAGGCAAGTAGGGGCCATCTGACCCCTGCGGCTCCTCCACGTGGGCTCCCCAGGAAGGCTTTACTCTCCTGGGGCCATGGTCCTCACCTGATAAACACAAGCTTTCACCGCTTGTTTTGGTCTTGTTCCCAGCTAAAAGAACATTCAGTGCCTTTCAAGGGGAGAAAAAGGCCATGGACACCCACCTGCACCCAAACCAGTTTTTCCATGAGATACACTCATTCATTACTGGGAAACTAGAGGATACAGATAAACAACACTTGCAGATAATCATGCTAACATTTGGCATAAACAAAGACCAATCTATTTCTTATAATACATCTCCCAGAAGAACGTGTGCTATATTATAGTCTCTTAAAGCAAGTGACCCAAGACTTAGGTGAGCAGCTGGGTCAAGTCCTCCACAACATGCTGCTGAAAATTCATCCCAAGAACATTTCATTGCAGTGCAAATATTCTATGACCCTCTCATCTTTTTAAAAAATAAGCTATTATTTATTAAGTGCAAGGAGCTATGCAAAGCTCTTTCCAAGTAGTATCTCATGTCATCCTTACAACCACATTATGATGTGGATTCTAGTGTTTCCTCTGTTTTGTGAATGGGGAAACAGGCTTGTGGAAGATCTGGCCCAAGAATGTCCAACTAGTAAGTGGCAGGGCCAGGACAGGACAGGACCCCAGTTCTTTGTGACTCTAGAGCTCCTAGTTCTCAGTCACTTTAAAAAATTCCTTTTTACCACTTTGAACATTAAAAAAAAAAAGCCCTTTATTTTGAAACAATTTTAGGCTTACAGAAAAATGAAAATGGCAGAGTTCCTGCATATCCTTGGTCCAGTTTCCCCAATGTTAACATCTAACACAACCATTATCAAAAGTAGGAAATGAACAGGGGTACAATTCCATTAACTACAGGACTGACCTTACTCAAATTTCACCAGTTTTTCTACAAAGGCTCTTTTTTCTGTTCTAGGATTCAACCCAGAATCCCACACTGCATTTGGTTGTTGTGTGACCTTAGTCTTTTCCAATCTCTAACAGTTTTTAGTCTTTGTTTTTATGATCTGGATGCTTTTGAAAAGTATTGTTTACTTTTTTTTTGAATGCTATTCGATTTGGTTCTCATGATTAGATAGAGATTATACGTTTTGGCAAGGATACAACAAAAGAATACATATCAGGGGATACATGAAGATATCTTGTTACTAGTGAGAGCAATCTCTGATTCTTGGTTAAGATGGTTCTGCCAGGTTTCCTCACTGTAAAGCTACTAATAAATATCTTGAAGGAGATAGTTTGAGATTATGCAAATATCCTGTTTATTCTCAAAATTAAAAAAAAATTTTGTAGTGACTTTTAAATTGTGGTTGAGATATATATAACGTTTACCATTTTAACCACATTTAAATGTACTGTCCTATGGGATTAAGTACATTTGCGCTGTTGTGCAATCATCACCACCATCCATCACCAGAATTTCCTGATCTTCCTCCACTGAAACGCTGTCCCAAGTAAACACTAACTCTCCATTATTGGGCAACTACCCTTCCATCCTCTGTCTATGAATATGACTGCTCTAGGAACATCATCATAAAAAGAATCATAAGACATTTTCTCAAAGTTTTGTCCACTAATTTTAGCATCCATTGCCGGATCTTTGCCAACAGCAATTATTACTGTGGTGTTCTAATGGTGATTTTCTGTTTCTCTCATTACATCTGCTTTTGAAAGCATTGAAGTCTTCTGCTAATTCACTTAAAAAGACTGATCAGTCAAGTTTATTCTAATTCTTGGAGAGAATTAGCAGAGAGTGACTTAAAGTGTTGATTATCAATAAGGGAAAGGAATAGGCCTCTTCCATGCTTGTGCATCATGATCAACTATGTAATTTGCAGGTCCCAGTGCAAAACGAATATGTAAGGACCCCTGTTAAAAAATTATTAAGAATTTCAAGACGGCCATAGCAGACCATTAAACCAACTACAGGCCCTATACTACCACACACCCATGAAACTGACCCTGTTGTATAACTTTCCCTAGCTTCTTAGGGACCACCCATCAACTTGCTAGGATCTGCAGAGTTCTCAAGGACAAGCAGTTGTGCCCCAAGGTTGGCCATCTCTAGAGATTTCAAGATCCCCCATTACTCCCACTCCCCAGACAATCATGAGGGTAAAATTACTCTTGTTCTCTTAAAGTCTTTATTTTTCTGGTTCCATTCAGATGGGAAAGAGACTCACTGCTTCTCTTTACTAGCTCAGGACTACATTAACAACATCCCCAAATAAGCTTCTAGTCTGAGGAACCCCAGAACTCCCACAGGCCCCCAGTCCCTTACCACAATGGAGGTCAGGTCCTCACTCTCAAAGCGGCTGATGGCCTGGTCCAAGGATTTATACATGGCGGCAGAGATGCGCTGGGTAATGAGTCTGTTCAGGTCAATCGATCTACCCAAGAGCTGGAAGGGGGAAGAGAAAAGTTACTTAAGAACAGTTCATGCAGGCATGTGACAGCTAGATACAATGAATGATAGGCAATTGATTAAAAAGTATGAAAGACATAAATGGGAACTCCATGCAGAAAATAGCATCAATAAATTTCCTGAGTATGATAATTTCATTTTGATTAGGAGAGAATGTCCTTGTTCTTAGGAGGGATGTGCTGAGCTATTCAGGAGCAGAGTGTCATGATGACTGCAACTTACTCTCAAAAGGCAAAGAAAAAAAGTATATATATGTCAATAAATTTTTAATCTTAATTTCATATATATATATGTAAATGATTTATATGTACTGTAAATATATATATTTACAGTACATTTACTGTGTGGGTGTGAGAGAAAAAACATACAAAAGAGAAAGTGAAGCAAATGTGGTACAACAATCATCATGAATCTCTCCTCATAGTATGTTATGTGCTGTGTTATTCTTTCAACTTTCCTATAGGTCTGAAATATAAAAAGTTGAGGAAAAATACAATTCATTCAGACGGTAGCAGAGGCTCAGGATGGGCTCCGGAACCCCCTAAATTTAGCTCTGAAGTCCTTCCTGCATCTGCCCTGTGCCTAATTCAGTCACCAGGGAACAAGAGCCCCCTCAGCAAGGGCCTCGTATCCCTTTATGGGGATGATTTAAAAACACAATGAAGGGCTGATTATAGGATGGAAAATACAGCTAACATAATTTCCACAGGGGTGCACATGGGCATTATCCCAGATGCTGTGCGGAGAGCAATAAACACTTATTGAGCACTTGCTGTGTGTGCTGCACTTTGTTACATGCTCTAGGATTATTCTTAACAGTTTTATCTTTTCCTACTTCCCTTTGGGGAGAGATTTGCTACCAGCTGACAGGGCCCCTTACAGCGATCTCACGCACACATAAGCCCCTCAGTATTTAACATCCTGTGGCTAATTCTCGCTGCATTGGCAATGATAGCTGTTCATTTTCTGAGGGGCTGGAGGAAAGCTTTCATTGAGCCCCTGCTGCCGGCAGAGGTGAAAATGTTTTTCTCACAGCAATGGGAATGTCCAGGAATCAAGCTGTGCACTGTGTGCCCTACATGTTGCCTGTGTGGCATAGGTGCAACACAACCTCACAATCTTACAAACAATAGAGGCACTGACCTTCTTTGGCTCAAGTTCTAGGCTTCTTAGCCCATTGCAACTCACCTCTGGGGGGTAGTGGCCCCCAAAGCCTTTGTCTTCCCATTGCAAGCTGCAGCCCACATCCTTCAGTTGGGACAGCAATGGGAATGTCCAGGGTTTCCAGTGTGATCCTTTCCTTTTCATTGAGGGAATCTTCTCTGCTGCGGCCCTGCCCCTTCAGCTGAGTCTCCTCCACAAACACTGGACCACAGAATAAGCACGCCAAGAGCACAGCATAAAGGCCACCTCGCCACCGCTTGGCTGACAGCGGGGCGTAGGGGTAGGGCACCAAGTCTGCTGGAGCATCTCTTATTTTGTCTGCTGGGCCCATGTTAACAATTTCAAGCAGTAATCTGTTTCTCTGGGTAGCATTTCCTCTATATGTGGGGTCAAATGTTTACAGAAACCAACTCCACAAAAACAAACTGTAATTTCTACCCTGGGGTTAGACTGATGTGCTTCACTGCAAAGGCCCCACAGCCCACCTTCACTTAGACCTGCACTGGGCCCTGTTCAGGGAGAGATTTACCCATTTCTGAGCCACAGTCCCAACTGAAGGATGTGGGCTGCAGCTTGCAATGGGAAGACAAAGGCTTTGGGGGCCACTACCCCCCAGAGGTGAGTTGCAATGGGCTGAGAAGCCTAGAACTTGAGCCAAAGGAGGTCAATGCCTCTATTGTTTGTAAGATTGTGAGGTTGTGTTGCACCTATGCCACACAGGCAACACATAGGGCACACAGTGCACAGCTTGATTCCTGATCTCTAAGATAACTCTGCAGCTACTCTCACTTGCCTACCACCTGCCCTGTGGATTTCATTACCATACCTGGACATGTCTCTGCTTCAGAAGCGTTTCATAGCGGTTAGATGGCGGGTACGGAATGATGACTCCATAATTCTTACACTCAGCCCTAAAACGTTTATCCAACAGGACACTAGAAGGGAGAAAAGTTAAAAAAATCCATTAAACATGACAGTGAATGGTTTTCCATCACCCAGCCACATGTTTTTCAGACTAGAGGGTCTACTTATGCAGTGCTCTCAGGTATTTAAACATTATTTTTTCTGCTCTAGAGCAAAGTTCTTCAAATTTCTTTTCAGCCATGAAAGCTCAACGTGAAACAGAATTTCCAAATTAAAGACAGGGAACACAGAAGTTAGCCACTGTCCTTTTTTATTCATTTATCAAAAAGCAACTGCAGATGCGCTCCATATACCCCAGGAAACATTCCAGGTATGGAAATACAAAGTTCTTGTCCTCATAGAGCTGACCTTTTAGTAAGGAGAGACTGATATTAAATAAAGAAGAGGAGGAGGGATAGAGGAACCCCAGACAATAGCAAACATTTGCCTGGTATTTATTACTTATCAGGCCTGCACATGTGCTCCAACACATGGACATATGCACACAGTCATTTTTAATCTCACAACAATTTCTCTGAGTTAGATGTGTTATGACTGTCTTTCATACTAAGGCATGGATTGCAGAGTAATAACCTCTCTGAAAATAATAAAACAGGATCATTTGTTGTTTGGAGGTCAGGGAAAAGCCTCTCTGAAGTGGTTTTGTTGGACAGAGACCTAAATGCTAAAAGTGGAAAAATGTGGGGGAAGAACCTTTCAAGCACAATTAGCTTGGTATGTTTGAGAAAAGGAAACATGGCCACTGTGGAAAAAGGGCAGGGCATGCTGGAGATCATGGTACAAAAATGAATTTATGAAGGTCGTCCAGGGGCCATGTGGAACTACGTAAGCCACACTAAGGAGGTTAGATGTTTTCTAGATGTAATTGGAAGCTATTGAAAGGTTTAAGCAGGAAAATCACATCTAAATCTATCCTCTCCAATATAGAGAGCAGTTGCCAGCCACATCAGCCTATAAGAACCTGAAATGTGGCCAGTTCAAGTTCAGGTATGTTAAATGTGTAAAATACACATTAGATTTTGAAAACTTAGAAAAAAAAAAGAAGACTGTTTCTTTAATAATTTTATATTGACCACATATTGAAGTTATATTTTAAAAATGTTGAGTATAATGAAATATATTATTAAAATTGATTTCACCTGCTTATTTTTCCTTAAATATGGCTACTACAAATTTCCCATTTACATTTGTGGCTGCATTACATTTCTAATGGGCAACACTGATCTAAATCATTCTTTCCCTCCTGTGCTTTCCCTGACTTTCCCAACCTTTCTCAATTTCCCCCCAACTTCCCATATTTTTGGAAACCACTGATATAGGGATGGATATAGATTAAAGGACATATTTCAGATAAACTAAACACACAGAGGGCCCAGGGTTTGACAAGCCTGAGTTAGTTTATACAGCATATTTGAAATGAGAATTGTCTTAGAGAAGCTGGAAGCCCAGGCTAAGCACATTGTATTCAATCCAGATGCTTATTAAATGACTGGTTGTGAAAGGCTATGTTCTCTCTGCTTTCCCTCAAATTCTAAGTACATACTTTCTATGCTTTCCATCATTAAGAGCCCTTTGCTTCATTTAATAGACAGCCCGTGTTAATAGAATCTCATGTCTTCTGCATATCAATTCCCATCTGAAATGTATCAAAGCTGTCAAAAGCAAAATGAAGCAAATCCTTTCTGCAGAAAGAAAACTAATTTAAATAAGTAACTACATTTGAAGTTACGGGTTTATACATGTGGATTTCCAGTAAGGTAAACACTGGTTTTCCCTGACCAGTGTACTGTTATGGGTTCTGGAAACCCAGGAATTCATGGGGTCCAAGTCATCACAGATGGGGAATGCCTGTAAGCCTCTAAAACTGGATACCTCTCTTACCCCGACTTCTTCACTGGCTTCCTATCTGGCATTCACATATTTGGTTCTTGCTAACTTCCAATCCATTATCCACATTTTTATGTTTTTAATAGAGCAAATTTTTAAAAATAAAAATTGAATTAGGTCATTGTTGAACTTTTTAAACCATCCATTCGTTTCTCCTAGGATAAATGCCTACAAGGTGTGCATGTTCTGGGCCCTGCCTACCTCTCCAGCTTTACCATCCAACCTGTTCCCCTTGTGATATGTGAATGAGGCATTTAGATGCACTAATTCACCCTGATCTTCTCGGCAGCCCTCCCATGTAGGCATGCTATTAATACTGTACTGTCACAGGGACTTTGCACGAGTAGCTGCTTTTGCCTGTTATTTCCTGTTCCATCCTTCACCTAGTTTCCTCAACTCCTATCAACTTCAGATATGAGCTGAAAATAGTACTCTTAGGAGAGCCTTTCTAATTCCCCACTCCAAAGACTAGTTCCAGTTTACTATTCCCAAATTCCCATGAGCTTTTTTCCTTCATAGGGAGCACGTAACCTCCCTTGTCACTGTGCATTCATTCCTTTTTATTAGTATCTGTCTTCCCCAGTAGATGTAAGTTCCATGAGATCCAGTACCTTATCTGCCTATTTTCCTTTCCACTATATTCTAGCACCTAGTCTGGCCCATGGAATCACTCCAACTTCCTCAGGTGCTAGAGAAAAAGGGAGGTTTTGCAACAGAAAACCGTTATCTTCTGGGTGGCAATCTAGAAACTTTACGGCTCATAGTCCTGGGGCTCTCATACCTGCCAGCCATGGCTTTGTAGTAAGCAAAGATCTGGTCTGCCAGCTTGTAGACAAACTGATCAAAACACAGGTTCACCTGGGGAAGAGGAAGCAGGAAATGTCAGTGGTGTCTGTCCAGCTTTATCACAGAAACTTAGGCAATAGAAAGAGGGCAGCTGAGCAGAAATGAGTGTTGTGGGGCAAAATGCTGTGAAGGAGAGAAAAAAAAAGACTCTGTGGAACTAAGTCTGGGACGTTTTGTCCCTTGCTCTCAAGGTCCTCAGTTAGGCACAGAGAAGGCAAAGTTCAAAAAGTTGAGGGAATTGCCCCACCCCACCTGGCCCCTGCCTCACTGTTACAAGGTGGCCTGTCCAAGGGGAGCACAATAGGTAGGCCTTTGTTCATACCCTGTAACTGCTCCTATCAGCCTCTCTGTTACCTCTTGTAATAAATAAGCTTTCTCGTCTTTTCTTCTCATTCTATTTTACCTTGCTTTGCAAATGAGAAAGGTGATGGTTGTTACAAACTTAGAAACCTTTTTTCAAACTTTGCTTAAAAATCTTAGTTTCTGAATGAACATGGGACCGTCTTGTCATTTCACTGCTTCATCACAGCAGTGGCAGATTGTGATGCTCAGGTGGGAAGTTCACATCACACACAGAGGATCAAACCCTCCGACGACAGCTGGAGAAGGGGGCCAGGATAACATCGAAGGACATGGATCGTAAGGAGGTGATTCCTCTTCAATTCTTCTCTCACCAAATTTCAAGCTCCATAAGGTGAACTCTACTCAAAGAGCTTTCGTATCTTGGGTCTGGAGCTTCAGGGTCCCTAGTGGCCATCCTCCAAAGAACCTGCAGGGTCGAGGTGGGGTGTCCACTCAGACCACAAGCTCCTTTTTCTAGAACCAGCTTTGTGTATCTTTGCCCAAATGGTCCAAGCCCCTCCCCAGGGCCTGCGTGGTCTTTGCTCTGGACTCACCCCTGAGAGTAGACTGCACTGAGGGTATGTGCACCCCTAGAGCCTATGGTTGGCCAAGCATCACTGCTTGTGGGCAGGGGTGGTAGCCAAAGCCAGAGTATTCACATACAGGCACGTGAGGCACTTCACTTTGCAGAACAGAATTTGGGAGATGGGAAGAGAAAGGAGATGGCCATGAACTGGGGGAATCTCAATTTATACTTTTGCCCCATGCCCTCAAGTGTGACCCAGGCTGTAGCTTTTCTTTTCATTTATATTAAAAATTTCACTTGGACACATGATACTCCGCTATTTTTCTTTCTTTTTTTTTTTTTTCACTCAATCTGTTGGAAACCATGACTAAAAGTATGTCAGAAAATGGACTTGTTAAAGCCAAGATGGAACCAATTAGCCCGCCTCTGGGATCTCTCTTCCCAACTCTGTGTACTGCTCAGGAGGGTAGCTTTGCATTGGGGTCCATCAAGGTTTTCAACTCCCACCAAAATCGAAGGGTTGAGAAAGAAAGCAGGGCCTTTACTAGATTTCCTTTGAAATTTATAAACTTTCAAACTAATTTGGTGGTGATGCTTATCCTATAACATTCATGCCTTTCCTTTCTAAGCAAGAATGCCTTATATTTGCATGGCAGTTTTACCATTGGCCTCACTCTGTGTTTATATAACCACATTCAGTTAAGTAGAGCAGAGACTATCATTTCGGTTTCCAAAAGGCAAACCTGAGCTATGTCAGTAGTCAATAGTGCTGTTGGTCTCCTGTTTCTGGTCCTTGCTCATGGAAGGATCACACCTCCTTGCTCCGCTTTGAAAGGAGGCATAGCTGTGTGACTCGCTTTGACCAAGCATATATTTCATTTCCAAGTGGAAGCCTGAAGTACCAGAGTGTGATTCACCTAACCTTCCCCCTGCCGTGGCAACTAGTCGATGGTTCAGCTGGGTCCCAGAGTGAAGGCGACAGGATCCCCCAGTGCACCCATAATGGAGAAATAAACCTTTGGTTTCAAGCTACTAAGACTTCGCAGTTATTTGTTACTGCAGCATAACCTAGCTTATCCTGACCATTACAGAAATAAAGCTATTGTGTGGTTCTCTTAATAACCAGCTTAATAGCTGAGAGGATGGCTACTTTGGTCCTACCAGTATTAGAATGAGACTCTGCAAGCTGTGTGACCTTGAGGTAATGATATTTGCCCACTCTGTCAGATATATCATCTGTAAAATAGTAGCATGTACTTTAAACTGCTATAAAGATTATTTAAAATGTCTCTTTATACAGTGCTTAGCACTGTGACTGGAAAATGATAAATATATAATAATTGATAGGTGATATTACTATTCTTTTTCTTATTAGCCAAGTAATTCAACCACAAAAGACCCATTACAAAGTTAATTTTACCCATGTGGTTCTACCATTTGCCATCCTTAATACATCTGAAAAAGAAGCACCATCACCCCGGTCTCGGTCATTTCTGATGACCATGGCTCATAAAGATCTTGCTCCAGAATAAGTTGTCAATCTCCCATGCTACGGTCTGGATGCTTGTGGCCCCCCAAATCAGTATGAGAGCCAAACACCCACAGGTGAGGCGGGCCTTTAGGACGTGGTTAGGCCATGAGGATGGAGCTCTCACCAATGGGATCAGCGCTCTTATAAAGGAGACCCCAGAGAGCCCCCGCACCCCTTCCACCATCTAGGGGACATCGGGAAGTCTGTGAGCCAGAAGAGCGAGATCCCGCCCACCCTCATCGTAGACTTGAAGACTCCCCAACAGTGAGAGATGAATTTCTATTGTTTATAAGCGGCCCCATCTGTGGTGTTTTGTTACAGCAGCCCAAACAGACTAAGGTACCACACTTTGGGCCGACAACTAAAAATCCAAAAAGTCCAGACTCTGGGAACAAAACGACAAGAACAAAAGGAGAAGCACATCACTTGCCTCGGCCTCAATCTCATCGTACAGGAACTGCTTCTTGAACTTGGTCAGAGCATAGTAGGCGCTGTCGTTGTACAGATCCAAAGGGTAGAGGACGTACCTGAAGAGGGAGAAACAGTGCCAGCAGCTGACTGATGATCTCTCTTAACTCGGGCAGACTTATACTTGCTTGGGAAATACCAAGGGTCAGGGGGAAAGATAAACAAGGTCAGAGTTAGGGGCAGAGACCCCTTCAGCGTTCTACGAGGTGTCCAGCTTCCATGTAGGAATGGCTGACTTTATAATCTGCCTGGACAAAGTCCATGATGTTAATAAATCCAAGGCCTGAAAAAATTAGTCCAGGACAAACAAAATCAGGTGGCAGTTAGGATATTAGCTTCCTGCCCCTCAGAGACGACTGTTTTCCAAGCACGGCTGTTAGGAGACTGACAAAACTTTGGAAGGGCAGTCAAGGCTAAGTCAGGCGCGGGGTGGCCTGGTCCTTGGCGTGAGTGCTCCCCCTGGTGGGCACTCCCCCCTAGCTGGGAAGAACAGAGCATGCGGGCCAACTACCCTGCACTCTGGAAACCTCCTTGCCGACCGACCCAGTCCTGCCTCTTACTCCATCATGGAAGGTTCTTTGGTTTCCAAGATATGGTCTGTCAGAATCCATGGCATGGACATCTCAATAGGGAACTGGATTCGCCGACCCATGGTTAACTCCAGGAAGAATTCTCGGAACCAGAGTTGGGACAGATCACAACATTGCTGCAGGGCTTCTGAAAGCATAAGGGAAGAGCCTCGCGTTACACAGACGAAGCACCATAACATCTTTGTTCTTACTGTTTTTATTAACTTACTGCTTTTATTGTTATTCTTATCACTGAGCTAGGCACCTAAAAATAACAGGTACTCATAATTATGAGTTGAACAGTAGATTCTTCTTTCTTGTACATGAAGGCAGGCCTAACATCTCTTGAGAACACAGCATATCTTAGGCTTCAGTGACTGGCAGTGCAGGGGGGGAGGAGGGCAGTGAAGTTTCAGAGCTGCAGATGCCTCCACAGGTTCCACGATCCCTCTACAAGCCCATTCTGAGAACACACAGTCTTAGTGTGAAAGGTGTGCTTGCTGTAGAAACAGTGTGAAGACAGGTGCCCAAGTGCCTGCTTTTATTGGACTGTGGCTCGCTGACCCCATTTATGTGGTAATTCTGGATTCCTTACCCCTGGGAAGCCTCAAAGGCCCTTCCTAGCCTGCTCTCCAGTGGAGAAGTTTGGACTGTTTGTTAAGACCACTCTTTTCAGTCCAACAGATATGTACCACTCCCACATCCCTGATGCATTCTCCCTCCACCCTGCTCTGGGTTCCTGCTAACAAGAGGAATGGGGACACGGGGTCAGGGTCCAGCCTGGGAGCCTCCTTTGCTGGGAGCAGGGAGCACTGACCGGCTAAGGACTGCAACTTCTGAGCAAAAGGCCGCCTTAGGCCTGCCTGTGTCTGTGTATACTGCTGCTTTTGATCCCCGTCTCCAAGGGACTTCGTGGCACATTAGTGAAAAACGTCTGCCAAATGCAACTGAATCAGGGAAGCTGGAAGGACCCTGGCCTTGAGACCACCAGAAAGTGTGTTTTTTTCCTTGGTGGCAAATTGTGCCCCTTTGGGTCAACTACCATGTCTCTGTACAACTTCCTAGTTGCCCACCAACCTCGGTTGCTCTGGGACCCGGGACCCTCACTCTCTCCCCACCGCCCAGGCCCTGCGGCTCACCGCTGATGTTGAGCAGGTGTGTGAAGAAGAAGGACTGTTTGTGGAAATCCTCTATGGCGAGGACGATGGGCCCATCAAGGCTGCTCCTCAGGGTCTTCTTGGAGCCGCTTTTGTCTGCGATGAGCGATTCGAGCATGGTCCGCACCATGTACAGCTTGAAAAAGAAAGTGAGATGAGGTTAGCAACTGGTCTTCCGTCCTGGGGAGAAGGTTGCTTTGTGCTGTATTTATCTTTTTCTTTTTTTTCCTGCAGATGTCTGCCCTTAAAAAGTACTGTCTCAAGAAGCACCAGTTTAGGGTTGGAGAAGTGAATTTGGAACATGTAAACTTTCAAGAGGGAGACTGGCCAGCCCAGGAAGGAAGTTCTACCTGAGGCCCACAGCGTCCCTGGGAAGGTGGACCAGTAATACCAGGGTGTTCAAGGCCCAGGTTCCTGCCTGCTCTGCTTGGGTAGGGGCGTGGGTGTCAGAGAACCTCAGTCCCCGTCACTCTGGAGTCACTGCCTGCTTCACTGAATGGCTACAGTGGCACCGTGGGTGGAACCCTGGCCTGAGAGTCAAAAGACAGGCTCAAGGCCGGGCACTGCTGCTGACTTGCTGTGTGACCTTGGGCAACAAAGTCCCACTCTGGGCCTCAGTTTTCTTATCTGCTAATATGAGGAAGTTGCACCAGATGCTTTCTCAAACCACACCCTTTCAACTCTTAACATTCAGAGGAACTGTGAAATGGGATATGGTCAGAACAAGCCCCCCACCATCTCAAGTTTCTGACCCTCAGCATTTTCAATTCATTACTGAGGGATGGCGCCATCTGGTGGCGCCTGCTGCATTGCACAGCCTGCCGAAATTCTGGGTGGAAAGGCGGGTGAAGAGTGGTACTTACACAGGCCCACTAGACAATTAACTCCCACTTACAGAGGGCCTTAAATGCAAAAGGCGCAAGTTCTAATCTAGATCTTTCCACACCATTTGTCTTTGAATCTTAGGGCTGGAAGGGGCCTTGAGGAACCAGGCTAGTCCATTCCTGCTGCCTCCTGGAGAAGGTACCCCAACCAACCCAGCCAGGCGGTGTTATACCAGGGATCGGCAGCCTCTTCGGCCCTGTGTGCCACCAGTGGGGTGAAACAAAGCCCGCGGGGACCACTGGCAGGCCTAAGACATAGATAGGAGAGAGGAGGAGGGAATGGGAGGGCAGGAGAGACAGGGAGGAGGGAGAGAGAGAAGAGAGAGAGAGAGAGAGAGAAAAGCAAGAGGTATTGTATACGGTGGGAAAGCCGCCGCGACTGCTAGGGGCCACTTGCCGACCACCTCTGAGATGCTCCAACCTCCCTCTGCCACCACATCTGTCCTTGCTATCTGCATCTTCTCTAGGACCTTACCCACCATGCGCAAGGCACGGGGCTGGAGCGCAGCCACAGAAAGGAGTGGTCCATCACCCCTACCCCAGTGCTCCCTTTACAGCGAAGAAACTAGCATGGTGGCCCGTGTATTAGAGGTCTACCCTCTGTAACCCCATCAGGGACATGTCTGATCATCCTTAAGAATCAAGAAGCACTATTCTAGTGATGGCTTTGGAGTCCTCAGAGAAGGGATCCATCAAGTCCAATCTGTGTGCTGTTGACTTATTTGCATCAAATTCTAACTATTTGAAAATCTGTTTCAACCATGAGAGGGGAAACTCTTTTCCCACCTACTTTTATTGAAAAGAGCATTTAACTCACCAGAATGGTCAACATCCCAGCTATGCTAGATGCCCATGTCTACCATGCTCTGAAGGCCCTAACGGAGTAGTCCTGGGGTGGGAGTCAGGAGACCTGGGTTCTTGTCCCACCTCCACTTGTGACTCACCTTGTGACTTGGACAAGTCACTTCCTCTCTCTGGACCTCAGTTTCCCCATCTGTAAAATAGGGGGAGGGGTCTGGACTGGTTTGTCTCTAAGAGCTCTTTTGGCTCTGATTTTCTAGGAGACTATTAAATGTGTCTGGGCCACTTGGCCTGACTTGGTGGTGTTGAGGGTGGGTATTTAACTGCTGCTCACATTCCCCTCTGAACACTTCTCTATCTCTTTCCCTCATTCTCTTTGCCTGTTGGCCCCTGTCTCTTATCCTCCTCTTTTCCAGTTTCTCTTTTTTTTTTTTTTTGAGAGGACATCTCTCATATTTATTGATCATTCCAGTTTCTCTTTTGCCTTGTCTGTCTCTTCCTCTTCCTTCCTTCCTTACAGAAACACCTAAATGTCCTGCTCAGCCCCTTCGGGGCATTCTAGGCTGGAAAGATCCCTGGTCCTTAACATTACACAGAACTGTTTGCAGAAGCTTCTTCAGGATGTTCCACAACCAGCAGGCAAGTTTAGTGCAAACTGGGCTGTGAAGCCAAGGGAAGTGACAGTGACAGAGCTGAGAACCCATCTTACCTCTGTCCCTCCTCCCCACCCCCGTGCCCAGACACAGACACACACACAAAGGAGGGTCAGGGTGGGCCTCAGGCAGCTCACCTCAGGTGAGTCCCAGATTCAGGACTGCAGAGCTTACAGGTCATGTGAAGTGGAAGTTCCCAGTCTGGGGCTCATGGGGTGTGAACAAATGGGAGTTCTGGGGCTTGTAAAACCCTTAAAAAGCTGCAGTGGACCCATATGCTTTATCCCAACCTCAAAAAACCTACCAGAAACTATTTATTTTTAAGCAAGTGGCAAGGATTTAAGATACTCAAATTTTATACTTTTTTTCTGTAATTTTACTATTCCTTTGGATAAACCACAGGCAACCTCTTGCTGTTTAGAAGCGCTGGGTGGCAACTCTGAATTATCTCTGATTATTAGACTTTCTCTAAAGGGACAAGGGCTTTCAATACTTAATGCTTTTTTGGATGTTATGGATGATTAAAGGGGTGTTTTGTCAGTAACATGATATCATCCAGAGTTTTCATTTAACAGAGAAAATAATCACAGCGCAGAAGGTTAAGGTGTTTGCCCAAGATCACACAGCAAGTCAGAGGAAGAACTTGTGAATTCCCAAGCTACGATGCCACTGCAGGGAAAGGGGCCGGGGTTCATGGAAGGACAGGATAGCTGCATGTCGATGCCACATTAAAGGCCTCCTACACTTTGGAACCTGTAGGAGATAGCCAATCCTGGTATTACCTCCATTTGCCAGATTAGACAACTGAGGCACAAAGAGATTGTGTCACATGCCCGAGGTCACACAGGTATTCAGGACTAGAATCCAGGTCTCCAGAATCTTAAGCCAGTGATCCTCCCTCCTGTTATCAAAACCAGATGGCAGAATACGACTAGAGCAGCTGCCTGTGCCTGCCTCTCTTGCCTGAGGACCCCCTGCCCCGCTGCCGCACAGTCCAGCCAGGATGACCCACTAAGGCCTGAGCGGCCTGAGCGAACAGAGCGGGCCTGTGCCTAGAGCTCCTTACCTGTGTGCTGGAGGGCCCCACGGCACGCCGAGGCACTTTGATTTCAAATCCCCCTTTGGGATCCTTCTCCCCTCTCAAACACGGGTCATTGGGGGGCTCTCGGCCCCCCTCCCAGTCACAGATGGTTTTCCGAATTGCCTGCAAGACACTGGGGAAAGAAGAACCGATACTCAGACTAGACTTTACCATTGGAAGGAGGCACTGCAAGCCTGATTCTAGAGTCTGTGGAGCTCAGGACCACTTGTCTGAGAATCCCAGGTGCTTGTGAAATGTGCTCATTCCTGGGCCCCACCTCTAGGCATGCTACTTAACAGATAGGAGGTTGATAGGAGGTTCAGTCCAGAAGTCTGCATTTTAACAAGTACCCCAGGGGATTCTAATACTGGCTGTTTGAGAACTCAGCTCTGAGCCCACACAGTGGGAGAGAACTTGAATGAGGCAGGATAGCTATTTTAACTCTGGCTACAGGGATGTCTCATTAATCCAATTAAATCTCTATATTTAAAGTTTAATAACAGTTTTTATGTGTTGCATACTTATTCCATGCTGCTTTGTTTTTAGGTGTACACATGGATTATCTCATTTTAGCATTCCAATAGCCCAAGAAGTAAGTATCATTATCATCCATATTTTACAAATGAGGGAAACTGAGGTTCAGAGAAGGTCAGGAACTTCACTAAGTGCCCCTGGCTAGGCAGTGGTGGATATGGGCCTCAGACCCAGAGACTGAGGCTCAATTCATTTCAAATCACCAATCTCCTAAGAAACCCTCCTTATAGAGATTGCTGGAACTTACTGGAAGGATCTGCAAGCTGACTGAAGCAGGACCTTCCTCTGTGGCCTGCACCTAGCAGACCTGGTTTTTGAGGTGCCCCTGCAAAGGGCCATCTGCAGGCTCACCTGATGAGGACGTTCTTCTTCTTCCGCACGGCCTGCCTCAGGGGCTCGCGCAACGTCACCTGGGCAAAGTCCTGCAGGGCCGCGTAGATGGTGTTCCTGATGGCCTGGTTGAAGACACTCTCCATCCTGCCCATGAGGACCTGCAGGCCTTTGATCATGGCGATCACCTGGCCAGGTACAGATCAAGGTCAGGCACTGTGCCTCGGCACACCTGTCTGTCCAGCGCCCTTCACATTGCAGGGAGGGTGCTGTGTGATACACCTAAAAGCATGAGGCCAGAGCTACTCGAGGTGACAATTCACAGCTATGTAAGAACCAAGAGCCAGAACAGAAATGACCAGGCTACTTCTTCTTCAAGTAAGTCCTGCTAAACAGAGATGTCAGCCGAACTAACAGTATGACTCATGAAGCAGCTGATTCCACTCTGGAGCCAGCTCCTCAGCTTGTTGCTGACTGGTGACAAATGGCAGCCAGCCCCATGGACCACATTTTGAGTACCACTCTGACTTCTGGAAGTCTCTTCACATACCAGGTACCGCCAAACCATGTCAAATAGAACTTTTTTTCACCATAAAATTTTCTATAAAATTTTTACAATCTTTGCTTTTGAAATAATTTGACCAGTTGCTTCTTGAGTCTGTAGGACTTCTTCCTATGGAAATAGGATTCCCATCGAAGTCTCAGGCAGGGGGAAGCCTTGTCCTTTTCTCTGCCTCCTCCCTGGCCCCTCACCTGGCTGCAGAGACGGGGAGGCAGGTGTCTGTGATGAGTGCGGCCTGCCTCACCTTGGTGCTCCCTTCCGGGCTTTGTCTGCCTGTGCAGTGTGTGCCCTCTCTTCAGGGTCCCCGTCTTCTCCTTGCAGTAATCATCCCCTCCCCATCCCAAGGGAGCAGGGCATGTTTTTCTGCAACTGCTTTACCTCTTTCCCAGTGGATAAGGTTAATGGGATGGAATAGGAGTCTGGTGTGACTTTGGCTGGAAGACACATTCTCTAGTCCTGGTTTCACAGGTGTGTATACAACTGCCCAAACTCTGAATTTTACACCTTAAATGGAAGCAGTTTACTGAATTATACCTCCATAAAGCTGATTACAGAAACACTATACTGTCCTCATGAAGATAATCATATTCGTGACACAAGAGCAGAGTGCTTTAAAAAAAGGAACAATCAGAGAACAAGATGGGGCTTTTGGACATTAAAAATGTGATACACAATATTAAAAATAGCAATAGAGTTGGAAGTTGAATTTAATGAAGGATCTCACAAAGACAAGTGACATATAATAAGAGAACAAAGATAAGTGACATATAATAAGATAGAAAAGGTAAGAAAATTAGGCACTAAATCCTGGGTGTCCAAGAGCTAACAAATAGAAAACCCAGAGAGAACAGAGAAAATAGGAGGGAATTACCAAAATTAAAATACAAGGAAATTCCCAGACCAGAAGGACATGTATTTCCACACTGAAATGACCTATTTAGTATCCAAAGCAATAAAGGCCAAAGGGCCTTTATCATGAGGCCTCACTGTGAAATTTCAGAAAAATAAAGATAAAGAGAGATTATAAAATTCTACAGAGAAAAAAGTTGAATAAAGTGGAGACTCACATTCCTAATTATAAAACTTACTACAAAGCTTACTACTACTTGCATACAGATAGACATTTATCAATGAAAGACAATTGGAAGTTCAGAAGTAAACCCTTACATTTATAGTCAATTGATTCTTGACAGGGGTATGAAGACAATTCATTGGGGAAAGGACACTCTTTCCAACAACTGATGCTGGGACAACTGGATATCCACATGCAGAAGCATGAAGTTGGATCCTTTCTGACATCATACACAAAAATTAACTCAAAATGGATCAGATCTAAATGTAAGAGCTGAAATTATAAAACTCTTAGAAGAAAATAGGAGTAAATATTTGAGATACTGGATTAGACAATGGTTTCTTCAATATGACACTGAAAGTATAAGCAACAAAAGAAAAACTAGACTGGACTTCATCAAAATTGAAAAATTTCTGTGTTTCAAAGGATACCACCTAGAAAGTAAAAAGACAACCCATGGAATGGAGAAAATTTTTGCAAATTATATATCTGAGAAGGGACTTGCATCCATAATATATAAAACTCTTGCGACTCAACAACAGACAAATATTCCAAATAAAAAATAAACACAGGATTTGAATAGGTATTTTTCCAAAGAAGATATGCAGATGGCCAACAAGCACATGAAAATATGCTCAATATCATTAGTCACTAGAGAAATGCAAATCAAAATCACAATGAAAAACTACTTCACATCCACTAAGAAGGCCAAAATAAAAAAGACAGTAAGTTACAGCAAGGATATGAAGAAACTGCAACCATCATAAATTGCTGGTGTAACTGTAAAATGGTGTAGCTGCTTTGAAAAACAATTTGGCAATTCCTCAAATTTTTAACATAGAGTTACCATGACCCAGCAATTCCGATCCTAGATATATACCCAAGAGAAATGAAAACATATTTGTATACAAATACTTGTACATGAATACACATACTGGCATTATTCATAATAGCCAAAAAGTTGAAACAATCCAAATATTCACCAACTTATGAATATACAAACAAATGTGACATATCCACACAATGAAATATTATTCTTCTAAAAAGGAATGGAGTACTGGTACATGCTACAGCATAGGCGAACCCTGAAACATCACACTAAGTGATAGAAGCCAGCACAAGGAACCACACAGTATATGATTCCATTTCTACGAAATCTCCAGAATAGGCAAGTCTGTGGAAACAGAAAGGAGATTAGTGGTGAGAGGCAAGGAGTAAAGAAAGGAATGAGAAATGACTGCTAATGGGTATAGGTTTCTTTTTGGGGTAACAAAAATGTCATAAAATTAGGTAGTGGTACAGGATGCATAACCGAGTACACTAAAAATAACTTAATTGTACACTTTAAAAGGGTGAATTTTATGGTATCTGAATATTTTAATAAAGCTATTATTAAAAAAATACACAGAGAAAGAACACAAGTAATAAGGGATTAGAACAGAATCTAAATTTTCAATGGCAACAGTACAAACCAGGAAACAATGGAATAATACCTTCAAAATCTTGGGAAAAAAATAGTTTAGAATTCTACATATAGCCAAAGTATAAGTGAAGTTAAAGGTAAAATGTTTTTAGATATTATTCAAGATCTCAAACAAATTCTGGCGCATAGTCCCCTTCTTAGAGACCTATTAGAGGATGTGGTCCATCAGCCTGGGAGCAGGAAGCCCTGGTATGCAACCCAGGAGAGAGAGAAAGGGAATTCCCAGGATAATGATGAGGAAGCATCTCAGATCAGAGGCTGGGCAGCAGGTCAAGAAGCAAACAATGCAGATTGGAAGGAAGGAAAGAGGACTTTAGCAGGAATGGATCCAGGAAAAAAAAATTCATGAAATAATGATTGTGATCAACTATTTCATTAGAAGTTTACTTTGGTTGGTGTACTCCCTTTGGATAGGTTCATAGAAAACTGAACAAACAAAACAATAAGTCATTGTTAACTCTAGGAAAAACGAAAGTTGTACAAGAAATGGCTTCATGTTAGACCACGTGACTCGATGAACAGCAATCACTTGCTTACAGCAGTACAAAGAAACTACTGGTTTAATCAAAAAGTGTGCAATTACCACATTGGGTAGATGAGGGAACAGAACTGGGCATATATGTGATGGGCTAGAGATAAGTGAGCTAAATCATTCTCTCCCAAAGTTAAGAAATCAATAGAAAATGTCATAAATTGAAAACCAAGAAATAGTCCTGTAAGCCTGTTACTTAGAAATATATGGAGATAAATACCAGAGAAAAAGCTTAACAAGGTGAAAGATGATTTCCTATTTTGGGAATCTGGGTGCAGATTACTACTTTTGACTTGTTTTATTTTTGTTAAATGCTGTAAAGAATTTTATTTCTTTTTAAAAATTTTTTCATATTTTACTAATGAAAATTAAAAAACTTCTCTATGTATAGTAAAGTAAGGACTAGAAAGAGATGCAACTAATTGTTACTGGTCAATTGTCTCTAGATGATTTTATGAGGCTGTGGGAAGGTGATGGTCAGAATGGGGTCAGGAGGAGCATTTTCTAAGTTATCTCCAGTGCATATGTACTCCTTTCATTAAGAAAGGTGAAAACTTTTACAAAGTTCCATGTCCTCCCTGTCTATCAGTCTCATTTTCGAATAGGCTTGTGGATAACTTTCTCTTCCAGTAATTATGACAGGGAGATTGTCTTCCAGGCTAACTATTAGCACTGGAAATGCCAGGAGGATCAGGGGACACTCGGTGCAAGGCCAAGCATAATTACAACCTGTCTCCTCCTGGAATTGTACCACTGAGCCTCAGTCCTTTGAAGTGCAGCTGGGAGAGATGGTAAGAACAACTCTACCCCCTTTATGTGTATGACCCTTTGCCGCTTTCCCAGCTCATCTACATTAGGATCTCCTTTGACAATGACTGTCTGATTCTCAATAACCCTGGGATGGAAGTGGGTAAAGATTATCAGCTCCATTTGACAGATAAGGAAGCTGAGGCTGAGAGAGATGAACTGGCCTTGGGCCCAGGGCTAGCATCCAGGACTCTGACTGTAGGCTTCAGATGGTCATGAAACAGGTAGCTGTTACTCACAAACTAGAGTGAATGAGTTTTTCCCTCCAAAACAGACATATCTTTTTGTAATCACACAAACAAATTCAGAAGGTTATAAAGAAGAACTAAGTTTTCCCTGCAGAAATTACTAGTACCATTAATGTTTTGGTATATGAAATGTCAATACTTAGATCTTTTAGTTTTCAGTAAACATGCAGAAGTATATTAATTTTAGTATAAATGGGATCATTTTACATGCTGTTCTTTAACTTTTTTTTTTACCTTAACAATATACCGTGCATATATTTTCACTGCAGTCCATCCATTTTCATGGGTGCATAGTATTCAATGATATTGATATGCCTTCATTATTTCACCTGGTTCCACAGTAAAGGACATTTAAATTGTCTTACATATTCTGGTATTATAAACAATATTATGATAAATATCTGAGTACAGCTGTCTGCAGTTAGCTTAGTTCCCTGGAATATATTTGCAGAACTCCTGGGATAAAGGGCACACTCATTAAAAAATCTGAATACGTATGATGAGACTGCCCTTGTAGAAAGCCTGTAAGATACAGACTGGCCTCCAAAGTATCTAAGGCTATTTCCCACTCTCCACCAGCAATAGGCATCAGCAATCTTCTCAGTCTTTCTCATCCTGACTGTTGAACTAAAAATATCTCATCACAGTTTCAACTGGTACTTCTTTGACCACTCTGGGTGTTTTTCTTATCTCTTTCAGCCAATTTTCTTTATTTCTTCTGTTGGTTTCCTTTTGCCCATTTTTTTTTTTAGTGGAGTGAACACTGTCCTTTGGACTTTTCAGAACAGAATGAGTTTCTAATCATTTCTCAGTAACAACTTTTGACAGAGATGGAACTGGGGTGGGGGAGGACTAGGAAGGGCACGCGCTTGAGAAGGCCCAAGGCTGTCTCCTTGCTCACAACCACTCCTGGACCCCCCACGATCGGCCCTGGGCAGCAGCCTTGGGTGGGGGGTGGGCACAGTAGCCTTGGGGAGTCAGCGCCCACCTCCACGAAGGCAAACTTCTCCTCGCTGGTGTAGTTGTAGCGTGTGGCTCTCTCGTACTCCTCCGCCGTGCCAGGGCAGTCCTTGTTGCAGAACTTGTCTGTGGGGTGGACCAGCTTCCAAGAGTACTGGGGAGAGTGGAAAAACCCAAACGCCCACCATCAGATGAATGGATGAACAAAACGTGGTAGTGCCCATGCGAGGGAGTGGTGTGCAGCCATAAAGGGAAAAGATGTCCTGAACCATACTACAATATGGATAGACCTTGAAAACATGAAGTAAAAGGAGCCACACATAAACATCTGGATGTTAGATGATTCTACTTCCAGAAGGCATCCAGAATAGGGCAATTTATAGAGAAACGGGGTGACAGTACAGGGCTTTTTCTGAAGTGATGAAAACATTCTGAATTCGACTGTGGTTGCACAACTCTGTGAATACACTAACAGCGAATCTACATGTTAAATGGGTTAATGGTATGGGATGTGAACTATAGCTCAATAAAGCTCTTTAAAAAGAGTGCTGGGAAGAGGCAGAGGCAGGTAGATTCCCAGTAAACAGAGGTCAGTGTGGAGGGGGCAGCGGAGGGCAGGCCCTCTGCCTTCAGGACACCTACCACTTCCATGACGTGGGCACTCCACTTGGATAAGAGCTGCAGGCCCCGCAGGGCCAGGTCGAAGAGCTCGCGGTACTCCTCGTCTGACTTCTGGCTGTCCAGCCCGGAGCCCGTCACCACCTGGGAACATCGGCTGTCACCCCGCTGCCTGTGAGCCTGACACCTTCATACATTACGTCACTGACTCCCCGGAACAGTACAAATGAGGTTCTCGTGTTACACCCCCTTACAGATAAGCTGAGGCTCAGACAAGTGCCTGTGGAGGCCATGTGCTTGGTAGATAGCTGAAGGTTCAGGCTCAGGCAATGCGATGCCAGAGCTCCACTCACAACCACCTGGTATATCATGGAGCAGCAGCTTTTGAACGTTCTTGATTATAATTTACAGGAGGAAGTGTGCACCATGCAGTGACTCAGAACACATACCCACATAGTGATATTAAATAAACAGAAAACATTTTTCATGATACACCTTTACTCTTCACATGTAGGAACCCCTGATTTTCTGTTATATTTCACACAAAAACGCTAACCACAAACCACTAAATGGATTTCACAACTCATTAATTAGGCATAACTCACTGAAAAGCACTGATGAAGACATCTATTTGTGTAATAGTCCATAATGAAATATAGTGTGTACATGTGTGTGCATAAGCACAGACATCTGTATATAAGTATGTACATAAGTGTGCACATAAACAGAGAGCCGGTCCTCATTATTTGTGCATCCTGTATTTGTGAATGTGTTTACTCACTGAAATTTATTTATAATCTCAAAGTTAATCCTTACAGGACTTTAACAGTCACGTGCAGACCTGCGCAGAGTGGCCCCAGCTGAGGTGGAACGAGGTAACGCTCTGCCTTCTCATGTCAGCTCTCATCCTGTCTTCTCAGTCTGTGCAGAGTCACATTTTCTCATTTCTCTACTTGTTGGTGTTTCTGCTGTTGAAAATGGCCCCAACCAGAGAGCTGAAGTGCCACCTAGTGTTCCTGAGAGCAGGAAGGTGCTCACGTGCCTTAGGGAGAAGCACGTGCTAAAAATAAGCACCGTTCTGGTGTGAGATATAAAACTGTTGACTGTGAGTGAATGCTAATGAATCAAAATATGTATTACTGAGGTGTCTTTAAACAGAAATACACATAAAACAAGCTTATATACTGATTGGCTGATGACAACATCGTGAGCAGAGGCTCACAGGAACCTAACCCTGCACTTCATTTGGGAGCCCAGGTTCAGTATTCACTCAGTCAGCGCTCGTGGCCACATTACAAAACGTAACCTCTGTGAACAATGACAAGCATCTGCACTGACCCACATATAAAGTGTATAGTTTAAAAACTAACTTTGAGCCAGACTCATTCTTAGATATACTAAAGGAGTGAAGGAGGCCCCAGCACTTAAATAATTCCCATAGCTTCATTCAGCTGATGGTACATGTGGGTAAGAAAGCCAAAGGTTTGGGCATGACCCTGGTCCAGGTCTTCCAAGACCGGGTCTCATAAAAATGTGGGCCACTCATCTAATGGCCGCACCATTTGTCTGACTGTCCTCATTTCAAATACACTGCCCTGTGGTCAAAGTTATATTCTGCATTTGGGTTTGGAAAGCCTGGGCACTAGAGCTTCCAGACACTGGTGGAACCAGCGACCAAACATGGGCTATGCAGAGTCATCCAGGAGATCTGCCAGGTAATAAAGGAATTCAAATTAGGGACTTGTGTTCATTAATCAACATATAGACTTACTAGAAGGGTTTATATAGGAAGAGATCCAAAAGGATATATAAACCCAAATATTAATCTCAGTTGGTTCTGGGTGGTAGGATTTTACATGACTGATATTTCTTATTTTGCATATCTATATTTTTCTGAGGTTTATGCACTGATCATGTTTCCATATTAAAAAAAGAAGAAGAATTCAATGCCAGTAAAAATGCAATTAGTGGGATTACAAGAGATTTTTATGGCCTTCTGTCTCAAACTGTATTTTCTGACTTGTTACAATGATCATTTACTATTGTGTAGTTTTAAAATATTAGATGGTGTTATGAGCACAAGAGTTCAGAACTGTTTGTTTCTCTTGCTGTCCAGGATTGAGATGGTGTGAGTCATGTATAAACAATTACTGGCCATTACCTTCTGTTAGACATAATGTGTTTTCCATGCATCATATCATTTAATCTTCTCAATGAAACCCTCTGGACACTATTACTCCCATTTTGCAGGAGAAAACTGAGGCACAGAGATGTTGAACAGATTGTGAAGGTCAGTGGCAGAACCAGAATCAAATCCAGTTCTGCCTGGCTAGGAATTCCATGCTCTTGGCCATTTTGCCCTCCCGCCTCCAACGTGTATTCCCTCATTCCTAGTCTCCTCATTCCCAGTGATCATTTCTTTCCTGGCTGGTCCTTACCCCTTCCCACCCTGGGCCCACACGGACCTCCATCCCAGCAGCCAGAGCAAGCTCACCTCGCTGTTGCTGTAGCGAGCAAGTTCGGAGATGAAGCGGATGTGATCATCCCGGATCTGAACCATCTGCTCACAGATGTTGTACTGGGGGCTGATGCTGCTCTGTGTGCACGTCCACCTGGGCAGAAAGTCATGGGATCGGTGTGGGTCCTGGCCTTACATGCCAGGGTGGGACAGGCTCCTTCCACTCGCTAGTTGCTCCTGGTGCTCAGCCAATGTGGCCAGCTCCCCTGGGCGGAACCAAGAGGTATCCCAGCCACCAGCAAGAGAGCCTGCTGTGGAGACCGAGGGCTGAGTGGAAGAGCCCTTCCTCCTTCTCTGAGTCCAAAGCACAGGCTTTTCCAGATACCTGGTGTCCACGGTACTTACCAGTTATGTGAGCAAGGAGGGACTTGCAGCCTCTCTAGGGCTACAAAGGGCTGGATCCCGAGCAAAGAAAAAGCAAGATGGGCAACCTTCCGAAACCTGCCTACTGACCCTGTTGGCACTGACATCCTGTGGTTGAAGCTGGCTTTGGAGGGGGCCAATGGAAACCTGAAGGCATTGTGCCTCTTTTTCAATAGTGACCTTCAATGTGGAAGCACTCCATGGTGCAGGATGCCAAGCTCATGCTGAGAGGCACTGCTGGCACACCATCTCTCTCTCTCTCCCCCCCCTCTTTCTCTTTTTCTTCCCCCTTCCTCTCTTCTTTTTCCCCCAAATTCCTTGAAAGATGTCATTGGGAAAGCCAATCTAAATTTGAGAGGAAATCAGTAAACAAAACGGATTCTCTCCTTCCCCAAGAGAGAAGAGACATTCCTCTACCCTCTCCTGCCATCTAGTAGACAGACTAAGCATGGGCACCAAATAAGGCAGATTAACACTTTGGAAAGAATGTAATACCTGAAAAGGAGCCCTGAAGTGGCCCTCACACAAATGCTCAGAATGGTGACTTCCTCATGCTTATGCTCTGGCATGACTTTTATCTGTGTTACTTGAGTAGGGATAGGGATAGGATCACCCAGGCCTCTGGACACACCACCACTCCCAGCCAACTTTGGGTGCTGAGAATTTAGGCAGGAAATGAGTTTAGCATTCTTAACTCCATGCTTTTCCTAGGAAACCTCTTCACATGCTAGTAGCCAGTGGGCTCTGAAGACCCTAACCCAGCTTTCCTTGGTGAGACTCATTTGCAGGGGCTCAAGGCTGGTGGAATTCAAGGACACTCCAGATATTTTTAAAGCAAACCACCCTCACTATTTACTAAAAGACAGTTTCTCCTCAGTATAGAAGAGTCATATTCACTCAATGTTGGGAGAGATACAATAAAGAAACTTCCTTAAAAACCCTAGAGACCAAAGGGGTGGCCAAGGCTGGCAGATGTTCCCGGCTGCCATGAGGCACTGACACCCAGATCTTAGCACAGATCAGTGAGCATGGTGGTTTAGAAAATGACCTAAGGTGAGGCCATGAATCCGCTTCACAGGTGGGACTGTCCACACCATACACTCAATGACATACTTACGGCATGGACACAAGGTCTGGGGAGAGAATCAGGGTGAGAATGAACGATGCCACCTCACTCCACCTGACCGCTGAGGGCCGACCATTCAAGGGAAGGGGCACTCTGCTGCCCCCTTGGGCAGCGCGGGTTACCGCTGGAACAGCGAAGGGGCGTGGCTGTGCTCTGAGCCCTTTTGAACCCTGGCAGCAAAGGGCGGATGCAAACGGGCTCAGAGCACCCTCCACCGCTCCCCTGAAGCCAGGCGCAGTGTTCTGACGGAATCCACCTGCCCAGGGCTCTGGGGAGGGGGGAGGGGCTGAAGTGGCCCCTCGGCCCCCTGCCCGGGCTGAGCGTCCTCGCGGGAGCCGAGAGACATTACGGCAGGCACTCACTTGGACTTGTTCTCTTCATAGTGAGCACTGGTCTTAATGTATCTGGCCAGCTCTATCTGCATGTCGCCGAAAAGGGGCACCACCTGCAGCTGCTGCAAAGGAAGCAAACAGAGTGTGAGACGCTGGGGGGAAGGGCTGGGCGGCTGCCTCGCACGGGGGAAGCAAACACCATGTGCCTCTGGGTCAACCTCTAGCTTCTGCTTCTGACCATGCTGCCTGGGACCCTGGACCCGGAAGGAGCCTCTGCTAGCATACAGGTCATCCCCTGTCTCAAAGAGACCCTATGTTTCAGCAGCTGAACCCGGAGAGGCAAAATGACTTGTCCAAAGTCATCTAGCAGGCAGAAAGGATGAAGGATGGAGGCTAGAAGGCTTGCATCGCAGGGCAGCGTCCTTTCTGTTCCAACTGTCCTCAGATCGGAGGATGTTTGCTTTCAATTCTGGACTAGGCGTGGGTACCCGGATGCTGGCTGGACATGGCTTTCTAGAGAGACTCCACCACGTGGAACAATTGAAGTCCTAACACCGAACACCAGAGGGCGCCTAACACAAGCGGGCCGACAAGTCCTAACTGAAGACAGGGACGAAGAAAGGAAGACTGGCATTTTACCATCTGCTTCTGGTGCACGAGGCAGTGTGCCAAGTACTTCAAAACCTGAGGATTTTTAGGGCAATGAAAATATTCTGTATGATGCCATAATGGTGGATGGATGTCATTCTGCATTTGTCAAGACACACAGAACTTGCATCACCAAGTGATCCCTAATGTAAACTACAAACTACGGGCTTGGTAATTGTGATGTGTCACTGCAGGTTCACTGACTGTAACACACGTACCACTGGGGAGGACTTTGATAATGTGGGAGACTATGAGGGGAGCAGAGGGGACAAGGGAAATATCTGTACGTGGTTCAATTTTGCTGTGAACTTGAAATGCCTCTAAAAACAGCCTATTAAACAAAACAAAAAACAGTATCTCAATCCATACAATAACCCTGTGAAGTCACTACTGTGAGGTCAGTGCTGTTATTCTCATTCTACAGATGAAGAAAATGAAGCCCAGAGAGTTGATGTGATGTTTTTACAGTCAAGACCTACTAGAAGTGAAGGAGCCAAAGCTCTGACTCAACTGATTATGTGATCCCACTGAGTGAGTCCTCAAGAGAACACTATGAAGTGAATACCCTTATCATTCATTCATATTTTTCAGGGTGGAGAACTCAGTTTCAGAGAGGTTTGTGACCTTCCCAAACCTCTCCAGCTTTTATGTGGCAGAGCCAGACTAAAACCCAGGCCTGTGTAGGGTGAAGTTATCTTCTACTCCACCCCCATCTCACTCACGCTGACTGTGGGCAGAGGCAGATTTTGCAAGGGTCTCCCTAGATGAGCTGTTTTCATCTGGGGTAGCTAGAGAGAAACGTGAACGTGTCAGCCTTGAAAAGAAGCAAAGCAAAGCCTGACGATGCCTTTTAGTGGCTTGTTTCCCCCTTCACCTTGACGAGTCGGTGGGATCCTGGCACAGCCTGGTGTCCCCCACCCCATACCTTCAAGGGGTTCCACTTTTAGAGCTAAGCCTGGCTTTTTCCTATCTGACCTCTGAGGCTCCACTCCCATGCTGAAGTACCCAATGCTAGAATAAACTGACACACAGAATTCAATTCCAAAGTAGGTAATCCCTTTGTGAAAACCTCAAGGGTTTAATTTAACCGCAGGGTTTTATTTTTAAAGATTTGGGGCCAGAAGATCAAACCTCTGAGGCACTGGAATGGACTGAGTATATGATCGATGCCGATGAGGCCATCTGCCCAGACGCAGGGGCAAGCTGAGGTGGCCTCCGATGGGCCAGGAGAGCGTGTGATTTTGCAAATGTGAATTATTTTTAAATCTAGTATCTAATTCCTCTTGCTTCTGTGACTTGATTCATACTGAAAATTAAAGCAGATTTTTCTGAGCTGTACCTATTTCTTTAAAAGGTAAGATTTCAGGAAAGGGAAAAAGCAGTTTGCAAAAAAAAAAATTATAAGGCTTCCCAGCCAGATCCCAGCTGAGTCCTCAGACTTGGGAGTGTGTGTGACTTCATGGGGCAGCCTTCTAAAGTGTAGATTCCTCTACTGAGGGAGGGCCTCTCACTTAATTCTCCTCTTCCTCTTGGGGTCTTTAGAGCTACAGCTCAAAGAACAAGCCCCACTACTTGCTGGCTAATTTCATCCCTCTCCCCAGAGAGACTACCCATGGCTCCCTGCCCAGCCCCAGCCCCAGCCCCACGGGCTGACCTTAAAGAACTTATCGATTTTGCTGAGGTTGATTCTCTTCTTGGCATCCAGTTTGTAAATGTTACTGACATTTCCATCCATCAGGTAGAGACCAAAACCCATTACCTAGAGTGAGAAGGGGCAGAGTAAAGAAGCCAGTCACACCCACTAGAAAAAATTTCATAATAAACACCTAAAAAAAGGAGGTCTCTGCATATGTTCAAAAGCTGGGCTTTTGATAACTTCTCTGGGTTTCTGACTGTAGAGGAAGCCAGAGTGAACACATCACAGAGCCACACTGTCCTGTAAATTTCTTCCAAGGTGCTACAGAAATATAATGATGGGAACACCAGCAGGGCTGACATTCTTAGAATAGCAAGAGTCATGCTGAGACATGGAGGAGAGGAAGAAAAGGAAATTGCCACAGAACTTTGAAAAGTTGGGTTCTGGGAAAGAAAGAATCAAAAGGGGCTATGCAGTGTGTATAAAGAATATGGAGAAGGTTGGTTGTTTCAGTGCTATTGCTAACGAGAGAAATTAGAAACAGCCTAAGCAGCTAACAATATAATAATGGCTAAAGAAATGAGAGCTCATCAATATGACATCACCTATGGGCAGCATAATATTCTACATACATTTAACGAAATGGGATAAAAAAGTATACCCACACATAAGTTAGGTATATTGCATATGTTGAAAATTATAAACATAGAAAAAAACAGAATGAAATACATCAAAATGCTCAAAGAGTTACCTATGAGTGGAAAGATTGTGAGGGATTAAATCTTTTCTTGCTTATCTGTACATTCCCAATTTTCTACAGTAAAAAATATTACTTGATAATTTAAAACAAAACTCATACACTGATGAAACAAATATGACCATTTAGGCAAAACAGTGAAAGCTTGAAGATTTTTGCCTTCCCTACGTAATCTGACTTGACCATAGCATGAACACAAAAGCTGTGCTACAAGAGTACTCCGTGAAGTTTGGCAAACAAACATCCAGTGATAGGGGATTTGTTAAAGTGATGTCCCCCTACAATGGAATACTTGGCAGCCATTAAAAAATCACACTGCAGAAATATTTTTCATGATGTCTGTGAAGGTATATATGACATCTTAAAGGAAAAAGACCAGGTTACAAAAAATCATGTGCCGTAAGATCTGCATCAATCTTACTGCATCAATCTTAAACCGCAAACAGTTTAAGAAAGAAAAAATAAATACTGTTTTCCAAAAAAGATTTTAAATGAGGAGGAGGTGAGAGGGCAAGCCCAGGCCGAGGGGGTGTGACCTCGGGAATTGTACCTTGAGGAGCATGTGCTTCTCACTGGGGGTCAGATACATCTTGTTCTCGTAGTAATCCACGCAGATGTTGACGATATCCGCCAGCAGCTCCTCATAGCCAGGGATCACTTCCAGTTGCTGATGGAGACACTAAACAGCAGCCCCCCTCTGGTTAGCCCCATCCCTGCAGCCGCCTCACACCCACCACTGCAGAGAGCACCCAGCCAGGTGGAGGGGCCGGTGCAGGTGCCGATGAACCCCAGGAGGAGGCTGCCTGCATCCTCTCCCCATATCCCCAGTGTTGGTCAGGGCTCCTGCACGTCTCCTGCGGCAGGGAACACCTCTCCTTTGGGGCCCTCTGTTTTATTTCCTTGAAGTTCTGATGGCTAGAAAGTGCTTTCTTGGGCTGAGCTGAAGAGCCATTCAGCTTTCAGCAGCAGGCTGGTACCAATCTTGGCTTAGTTTTGAAGGCGTGGATTTAGCCATGATGTCATCTCAGAGGATGGCAGAAGACCCAGCCCAGTGGAGGGGATCTGGGCTGCCAGGCAGGCCCCTCCTGGCAGGACAAAGCCATGCAGGACATTTCTTACAAGAGAAGGTCTTAGGCCCTTTCTCTCCGAAGGGACAAATTGGGGACCCTGTGGGGTATCCAGTGGAAAGCACCACTGGTGCTTTCCACAGACAACATGGGGCTGAGGCATGGGAAGGAAACCCAAGCCTCAATACTGATAGCCTTCTGTGGTTAACCAAGATCAGGAAGGGTCCAGAAAAGCCAGCAGCGTCCCTGAGAGATCTGAGCCTGAAAACCCTTTGGCGAGGGAGGGCCCCTCAGGTCTGGCCCGGGTGCTGCTCACCTTCTTGCTGATGCCTGTGAAGGCTGAAGTGGCAGATGGACCCATCAGGCAGACTGTGAGAGCCAGAGCTGAGTGGGGGTCCCCCGGCAAAGTGGTGGCAGTAAGAACGGCTACCCCTTCTTATGCCCTTACTATCTGCCAGGCTCTGCATACTAAGGACTTCTATATAGCAACTCATTATTTCTCGCCACAGTCCAATGAGATGCAGTCTCATATTCTCAAAATACCAGCCCTGTTTTATAGCTGAGGAAACTGAGCTTAGACCTTGCCTGAGGTCTCACAATGGGTCAGTGGAGGGTCCAGGATCAGAAAATAAGGCTGTGTAACTCCAGAACTGATGCTCTCAATGTATCCTGATGCAGGGGCAGAACACTGGCTGAGAACACTTTCAGAGAACAGAATCTGCAGAGGGTGAGAGTCATCTGGAGTTGGGAAGAGACTTAAATCTGCAGCTTAACCCTTGAGAGGGGCAGTAGGGATGCTGGGTATGGACTGAGCTCCTCGGCTCATGGTCCACCCACCCACTGGGATGCCAGCCCAGGACCAGCAGGAGTTCGCCGTCACCTGGGTGATCCTATTGTGGTTGGCCAGGAACATGGAAAGGTTCTGTGACTCCTGGATAGACTGCGGATCCGCCATCTTCCTCAGAAACTGCGCTGCCCTGGAATAGGGGTGTTACAGACAGGAATGCTCAAGAACAGCCAGCCTAAACCAGGCCAGGGGCCCATGGTTACAGTCCCTCCAGGTTAACCTAGCTCTGAATAGCACAGGGGTTCTAATGGCAAAGGACAGTATGTTCCGGAGTCACTGGCTTTGGGACTGTCCACACCCTAGGGACAAGGGTACCTGAAATTACAAGGTAAGAATGCACTGAAGCTCAGGCTCAGGGAATTTCAGGGCAGCTAGCACCCTATCCACCAGCCAAAGGTGGTAAGATGGGGAGAAAGGGGCATCCTTGTGCCTCGAAGTGTCCTCCAGTGAGACCACCTGGTTGTCACAGAGAAGAATCAAAGGCAAAATGTTGTTTTGGTTGTGTTATTATGTTATTTATAAGAAAACCTCAAAGCTTCTATAGCAAAGCATTGCATGGAAAACAAAACCCTTTTTAACCTAACAGGTTATAAGTGAAGGGATGATGGGTGCAGGGAACACACAGAAGTTAAGGGAGAAAACCACAGGGCCCTGGACCTCCCAGCCTAAGGTGGTGGAGATGCAGCCTGTGTCATGACAGACAGAACACAGGCAAGACACCTGCCGTGCTCATGGTCCTCGCTGGTCCAAAGAGCATGCTGATTGTTGCCATGATGGAAGGAGCTGGCCCAAACTGGGGGAAATTGGAGGAAGATATACTAGGAGCTGTCTGTGGAATCTGTGTGGAGGTGCCACTTCTGAATCAGGGTGGAGATGAAGCTCTCTCTCCTGGGTACATCCAGGTTTCACAATTCACTCCGGAGGATAAAATTGTGAGACAGTCTGCTGCTTGCTTTCTCCAGTTTCTGTGGGGCCCAGGAGGATGTGGTTCGAGGAGGAGGGCCCTCTTCATCAGTGACAGAAAATCCTTCCCAAGAGACGTGTCCAGACACTCTGGAGCTCATCTGTGCCTCAACAACAGAGAGGGTGTCTGTTGCTTTCAACTGCCCTGCGCCCCTTCTGGATAGTTGTATCCTAATTGCTGGAGAGGGGCCCTCCCCGATTCTCAGTCCTTCTTTCTTGTGATTAGACACTGATCCCCAACTGATCCCAAGGGCGGCACCTGTACAATCAAAGCCATTCCCACCACCAGTGATGGAGGGGTTAGCACACACTCCAGGCTGGAGCAATGACAAAACTTCTTGGGACTCCTTGGGACCTTTGCAAAAGTATCTGCAAGGAGGAACAATCTTCCCTCCCTTCATCTGGGGTTGCTACACTGGCCACAGGGAAGCTTACCGTGGCTGGAGGCCACCACACGGTGTGAGCCTGCCTGAGAATGAAGTACATGTTAAGGAAAATTGAGCTGAGAGGTGGAGAGAACCAGACCACCATCATCTGAGTACCTGGGTCCAGGTACCAATCTACATTCCAATCCAGGGGCCAACCAACCTCGTTTCTTCTCTTACACAAGCAGTTTGAACTGGCTCTCTGATTCTTGCAGGAAATGACTAATGTGACCATTTTATGATTATTTTACTAGTCTCATACTGCATGGGACAACAGAAAATGTCCATTTCCACAGGTGGGGGAAATAAGGATTTGATTTCATCTTGAGTCAGGAAATCCTACAAAGACCCAGTTCTCCAAAGACTCAGCTCTGTAGCTTATTCCTCAAACTACAGAAATAGATACAGGTCCAACCCTGCTGTGTCTGGAGAATGGCTAGTTGGTTCTGGAGGAGGAGCCTGTTCGAAGGGCTCCATCCTCTTCCTCCCTGTGGCCGGCTACCCAGGGACAGGGGTAAGGGGGTAGGGGGTCCTGACCTCTTGTAGGCTGAGTGATCATTCTTGACACTGCACTTCATATTCTTCAGCTCATCCAGGACAGCAAACATATTGATGAACTTGCCCAGGGTCAAAAGGTAGGCCTCAGAGACAAAGTCCTTCCTCCGCTCGGCATGGCACAGCCGCTTCACCTCACTGCAGAACCGCTCGATGGCCTTGCGCTGCAGACAGAGAGAGAGCGACTAAGGGCGGGCAGCCCGGTGGGGTGGCTCACTGTGCTCTATAGTGGAGAGGAGGGGCCAGAGTCAGAGCCTGAGCACTTAGAGAAAGGCAAATCTGCCAGGAGGCCTATCCCAGAGGAGTCTCTAAGTCAAAAGCTGATTTGTAGAGGGAAGACTGGAACCTGCCCATAAATGAGTCAGGCTAATTAACCCATTTGCCGTGCCTCTGCTGTGAAACAGTATGTCATGTTCATATTTGTATCCCAGCTCCTAGGACAGTGTCAGGCATCAGACAAGGGGTAGTGAATGAGAGAGACATTCAGAGAAAGGCTCATTCAGCCATTAAATAGCATTTATTGAGCATCTACCATGTGCCAGGTATCATTCTAGGCACTGGAGTAAAGCAGGAAACAAAACAGAAAAAAATAATCTTTACCCACTAAGTAAAGGAAGACAGAAAACAAATTCTATTAGTATGTTATATATGCTATGTAGAAAAATATAGCAGGGAATGAGACAGGGATACAGTTTAGTAGGAAATCATCAAAAAGTAACTTACAGGAAAAGATTTTGATAGAAGAGAGAGAAAGACAGGGGGTAACTGAGAGAAGTGCATTCTGGACAGTGTGAACTGCCAGTGCAAAGGCCCTGAGGCAGGAGTGTGCCTGGCACGCTGCAGGGTAGGAAAGAAGCGAGAGTGATTGAAGTGCAGTGAGCATGGGCAAGGAGCTTGGGACAGAGAGGGACCGGGGCCACTGGCTCTCGCAGGCTTTTGTGAGAGCACAGGCTTCCCCACTGAATGAGATGAGGACGGGCGGGAAGAAATGAAACAGGACAACAGTCTGAATTGTATTTCAAAAAGGTCCTGGTGGCTGCTATGTGAGAACAGACTGCAGGAGGCAGAGGTAGACACAGGGAGAATAGTTAAGAGGAATGGAATAGGTCCACACGAAAACTTGCACATACATATTCATAAGCAGCATTGTTCATAATAGTCCAAAAGTGGATATAACCTAAGTATCCACTAACAAATAAATAATGCATAGTAGATCCATACAATGGATTAGTATTCAGTCATAAAAGGCATGAAGTACGGACATACGCTGCAGCATAGATAAAACCTTGAAAACAGTCTGTAGGTTAACTAGCCCACCACAAACGACCACAGGTTGTATGACCCCACTCATGTGAAGTGTCCAGAAGGGGTAAATCTACACAGACCAGAAGTAGATTAGTGGCTGCTTAGAGCTGGTTGGCGGGGAGATAGCAGGTATAATGGGGTGATAGCTAAAGGGTACGGGATTTCTTTTTTGGGGTGATGAAGATGTTCTAAAACCGGCTGTGGTGATGGATGCACAACTCTGTGAATATGCTAATAAAACTCACTGAATTTTCCACTTTAAATGGATGAACCGGTATGTGAGTTCTGTACCTCAATAAATCTGTTACCAAAGAAAGTAGCTAAACAATCACCAAAAAGAGGCCAAAGCAGTAATCCAGGGAGAGAAATGGGGAGAGGGGAGGTGGAGGAGGAAGAGGAGCAGCAGAAGCAGGATGGCGAGGGGCTTGGGGACAGAGACCTTACTCCTCAGGTGTGGGCTCCTCTCTGGGGGCCCGGATACCTGCCAGCCAGCCAGTCCTCTCCTTCAGAGATTAGACCAAACCACACTTTCTCTTTCCAGAGTCTAAATCCAGTACAGCTTTCTGCAGTGAGGGAAATGTTCCAATGTGATAAAAGTCTAATGTGATAACCACTCAATCACATGTGGCTCCTGAACACTGAAATGGCTGGTGCAATGGAGGAACTGAATTTTTTATTTTATTTTATTTTAATTCATGTAGATAGCCACATGTGGCTAATGGCTATTGTATTAGACAGAGGAGTTCTAGATTCTTCCAGAGCCTCCCTTCTCTAAACACTTCCTTTCAGGAGGCCCTCAGTCTAGCACTTAACTCAGGTTCTGGTTAGTTTTTGTCTCCTGGATCTGCTTCCAAAGAAATTTTAGGCTCCCTGAAGGCAGATTCATGATGCTAATAATAGCAGCTGGGATTTGTTAAGCCTCCTCAGTAACTAGAGCTCTACTTGGCTCTTTGCAGAGAGACCTCATTTATCCTCACCACAAACCTGTGAAACAGGTATTATTTCCAAGGGGAGAAAACAGGTGCCGGAATACCTCACAGGCAATAGTTACAATGGGCAGGAGGGTGGGTTTCCTGCCCCTGAAGCCAGCCTTCCGGCCCTGTGCTTGCAGCTTCCCCAGACATTCTTACCTCCCGCCCCCAGGAGGCCAGCAGGGAGCTGGGCGCAGGGTGGATATTCAACCAGTGCTTGAGAGACTATTTATGGAGCCCAGCTCTTGAGTGGAACATGTGGAGGGCATCCTGTGGCATGAACCCCACCTTGGGGTACAGACTGGTTTTCAACTGTTTGTCCTGCATTCCTGAACAACTTCCCTTATAACCATAATAATCAACCTGTTTGCATTATTTTCCCTTTGTCATTTCTGTTCACCATTCATTCATGGAAGCCCTTGGCTCTCTTTTCTCTCTTCTTTCTTTAAATGATCCCTTTTCCTGGCTTCCCAATGGGTCTCCCTGCTGTCACTCTTCTCCCCTCCCACCTTCCACAGCTCTGCTACCACCACCTCCTCTCCATTTCCACAGCAGCCAGAGCATCCACCTCAATCACTCCGTGCCACTAGAAACTGCCAGTGGCATCTACAGTGCTTCAACAAAAGCCACATACTCTTCTCCTGCCCCACTCCCTGGCTCACAGGGCCCCAAATGCTCAGCTCTCTGTGTACATCTCCAACCTCACCTTTCATCACTTCCCCTCTCACTGCGCACCCTCCGCGGCAACATTTTATTTCCTCCATGCCGTGCTCCGGCACGCCCCAGAGCCCCAAAACCCTCTTCCCCAGGTCATCACACGCCAGGCTCCTCCTCATCATACAGACCTCAGTTCAAACGCCACCTCCTGAGAGGCCACCCCTAAAGCTGCACCCAGACACCCCTGGCCCCAGAGGTTTTTTTTAAAGTTTTATTTTATTTGCAGCACTCATTGTGCTGTGAAAATGTTTGTGTATCATTTATTGCCAGTCTCTCCTGCTGCAGACACATGCAGATGCTCACTAGGATGTAAGCACATGGAGGGAGGGAGGCTTGTCTGTCCTGCCCACCTAGGGGTGTAGTGGGGCACTCAAACAGTAGTTGCCAAATGAAAACATGGCATAAAACTCCAGTATCTAGGAGTGTGGGAGCCTTCTCAGGTCTCCTAATCCTGACCCAGCCCACACCCCTCACCTGAAAGTACATGAACTTCATGAGCTTGGTGACCTCAGGCTCCAGCACCTCCACTGTCTTCTCATAGATCTCCACTCGGTTGGGCTGCTCATTGCATTTCACCTGTGGGGAGAGTGCACATCCTGGTTTGCCCCAGGCAGTCCTGGTTCATACCTGCTGTCTTATCAGCAGGGCCCTTTTTTACTCTTGAATACACCTCATTTAGGATGATAAATGACATGGGCCTGCAGTGAGAGGAGGCAGGCATAGCCCTATCTGAATGGTCTGACAGGGGCACAACCTCTCCTGGGACATTGGCTGTAGGAAAGAGACCAGCTGGTTTCAGGGACGGAACCTTCCTCCCCTTCAGTCTGTTCTGTGCCTGATCATGAGCCGAGCACATATCTGCCCCGATCTGCAAAGTCACCCTCCTTCAGTAAGGTCCCAGTAAGATCCCTGCCACATTCTAAGCAGAGAAAAATGTTCTAAGCAGAGAAAATATATTTCTCCAGATGCACCTGGGGCAAAGCCCTTGGCCAAACTCAGGCCCATCAAGAAACTCATTTTCTCTGGGCAGTGGTTCCCTACACATGAGAATCACGTGGCAGCACAGATGTTCTCACAGCATGCATACCCAAGGCTGCCAGCAGGTCGACTGAAGCTGAGGAGCAAGCCAAGGACAAACACAAGGCCCATTCTTCACACTGTTGCTTGGAAACTCACAAAATGGTACCAACAAGCTACATATCCACCAGTCAATGATTAAATGGATAAAATAGGATGCATTCATACAGCATCATTATGCAACTGTTGGAAGGAATGGGCTAGATCTATGTGAACTGACATGGAAAGATTGCTACCAAAAACTTGACAGGTGACAAGAGCTTCAGGACAGTAAGTATAATTAATCCCATTTTTGCTAAAGCACAAAACAAAACAGTGTGTATGTTGTGTGTCCCTACACAATACAAGCCCAGGAAATCTGAAAGGGGCTAACCAAGCTCTTAATAGGTAATTACTCCAGGGGCGAGGACTAGAAGGGAGAGGAACAGTTGCTGCATACTTTGCACACCTGTGGTTTGTTGATTTTGTTACACTGAGACCCACTAATTATATGATGATGATGATGGTAAATATAGTATCTGTATCAACAGGAGAAAAAGTCAGTAGTAAAGAATTACATGGAAAAAGTAAGTGGAAGAAAAAAATGAGAAAGAACACTTTTGTAAATGGTATTAATTTATAGAATAATATTCATAGAAATAGTCATAATATTCAAGGGAAAAGATTCAGATGAACATGCAGCCATGTGCCCACTGTGATTCTGGTTTGGGGGTGGCAGTGAGGGCGTGGGGCTGTGTTGCGTTTTACTTTCACCTTTCTGCAAGGGCTTGGGTGGCATACAGGTGGCATACATAGTACTTTTGGAATAAAAAATTCAACAAAGTTTTTAAGGTATCAGTTGCATGGGAAGCTCTCTGAATGTCTTCAGCGCATGCCCTTGGATAAGAGGCTCTGCTTCAGTCCCTGCTCCCTGGAGAAGCTCAGCTCTCTGGTGGGAGTGGGATGGAGGGACAGGAGAGCCACCCGGCAAGGACAGTCTCACCTGGGGAATGGCCCGGGAACAGCTGCGCCAGGTGTACAGCATGACTGCATACTCGTGTCCTTCTTCCAGCATTTCATTCTGAAAAGCAAAACCCACTCAGCAAGGAGAAAGTATGCCAGACGCTGGTGCCAGAAGGCTTCTCAACAGCTCTCCAAACCCTCACTGTTCAGTGTGGTCTGTGGACCAACAGCAAGGCCATCACAGGGGAGGGGGCAAGTGGTATTAGAAATGAAAACTCTCAAGCCCCTCCCTGGGCCTATGGAGTCAGAATCTGCATTTCAATAAAATTCCCAGGTGACTCACACTCCCTGGTGCACAATGAGTTTGAGAAGCACTGGCCTAAATTGTCCTCCTCAGAACTCAAGGGCTCTAGAAGCAGATGGATGACCGCCTTAGAAAGAAGGAGGCAGACCTATCTGTTCCAATAGAAAATCTGTCCCAGATATGCTGTTGGCGAGAAAATAGCAAGTAAAAACACAGCATGTAAACCAGCAGGTTAAACCAAATGAAGAGGAATAATTCTGAGACTGTGTTATTGCGCTTTGCAAGGTACTGTGGTGGAATACACACCACGCTATGAAAAGCAATTTCCCTGTGGGGTTGTATAAACAGGGACTTTCACTTTCCATATCACATAGGACTATAATGTTTGTACTTTTATAAGCACCCATGTTACTATTTCACAAGCAGGAAAATGATTAAGATCAATTTTTAAAAATAATACAGAACAGATGGCAAAACCAACAACAGCTTGAAGAATCAATCCGATGAGTGATGACTCACCTCACCTAGTAAGTGTTACCCCTAAACTCAGAGTCCAAACAGCTGGGCTTCAACCCCAGATTCATCATCATTTCTTAGCCCTTTGGCCTTCAGGAAATCAGTTAACCTAAAATTCTTAATTTAGTCATCTGTTTAAAAGTGATGACAGTAACAACCCCTGAGAATTTTATGAGAATTAAACAGAACATACACACACACACACCCATACCACATGCTAATTAATCTGTAAAGGGAGTTAAGAGTATTATGAGGAAAAAGATAGCTTGGCAGTTTCTCAAAATTTAAACACAGTTATCGTATGACCAGCAATTCCACTCCCAGGTGTATATCCAAGAGAAATGCTAACACATGTCCACACAGAAACTTGCATGCTTGTTTATAGCAGTATTGTTCTAATAGTCAGAAAGTGGAAAAAAAAAAACCAAATGTCCATCAACTGATAAGCAGATAAAAACAATGTGGTAAAGCCACCCCATGGAACAATATATTCACCTATAAAAAAGAATGGCATACTCATACATAACACAACATGGATGAACTTTGAAAACATTATGCTCAGTGAAAGATTCCAGACCCAAAAGGCCAAATTTTATATGATCCAATTAGATGAAATGTTCAGAATAGACAAATCCATAGAAGCAGAAAGTAAACCAGCATTTGTCAGGTGGTGCGTAGAGAGAGGAATTGGGTTTGAGGTTTCTTTTTGGTGATGGAAATTAGATAATGGTGATAGTTGTTTAACATTGCGAATATATTTTTAAATTTTGGAATCATACACTTTACATGGTGAATTTTGTTAAATGAAGTATATCCCAAAAAATATAATAAAAAAGAGTATTACTAGACCATCTCTTTTATATAATGTATTGATATAAAAGTGAACCCTTACTGATTATTTTTTATTCTACACAACCATTTCATAAATCGTAGTACAATATCCTAACACAAGATTGGATTTAATGTGGAGTTTATTAATTTTTATAGTTTTGTTTTCAGCAGTAAATGTCACCGACTCACACCTTTCAATTCTTACTTTAGAGAACTTTGTAAATCAGTAACATGCTGTTCTTGAGACCAGAGAGAACCAAGATCAAGTCTGCAAGTCTCCTGCTGCCGTAACTTCAGAACACATGTCAAAAAAGGGAAGTGACAGTAACATAGGGAATGTGTGTCTACTTACTAGTGCCAAATTGCCCACTAGTAGACATGAGTATTCCAAGTCATTCATTCAGATGACTGACCCCACTTGTGAATGACTGAGACTACGAGCTTCCTCAAGTAAATAATGTGTTATTCTAAAGCCACTTTCATTTTTTGGAGAAAAATTTTACTTTGGTCAAGAGACAAAATCCCACACAGACAGTAATCTACAGCATGTAAGACAAGGCAGGATCTATCACATGTCAACCAAAAAAGCTGTGGAAGCTCAGGAAAGTAAACAGTGGGGATTCAACTGGGCTCTACAGGTGAGTAGGACTTGCAAAGCTGGACAACAGAGGGCATGTGTGCCCCAGGCATTGAGGGGATGTGCCAGCCTGAAAATGGGTTCAGAGAGTGGGGTCTGACTGAGGCAGAGGTTCCTGGCACAGCCGAGCATATGGCCCTGTGCAATGCCACCCAGGACACCTCCCATGCCACCAGGGTTGTGGAGACTCACCATGCTGGAGTGCACCGTAGCCTGCTCAATGTACCTTGCGATGCCCGTGACAAATGCATTCCTATCCTCAAAGTTCGTGTCAAAGTTAGCCTGTAGGAATTAAAGGACAGGAACAATTATTGGTTGGAAAACAGGTCCAAGGTGGCTGGGCATCCAGGAAATAAATCTCCGCCAACAGATGCCACAAGTTCTTGGAAACCTTTGTCCACATCAACCTCTTACCTTCTCCCAGGGATCCCACTCTGAGTCACTATGGTCAGAAGCCGGCTACAGACAGGGACGCATCTGCTCAGTAGTAAATGCTTAAGGTATACAAGCCTCAATAGCTGTTAAAAGGTAAGATGTGCGCTGCTTTCACCCAGCAGTTGCAAAAATACTCACCTGAGGATACAGATACAGATTTACAAGGATAATAACTATAGCTTTTGTGATGGGAAAAATTGGAAACCACCTAACTATCCATTAACAGGAAAACACTACATTAAATAATAGTATATCTGTACAATGTACTTATAAGTACTACTATATGATGGCTAAAAATAATGTGATAGCAGTATAGTACTATCATGGAAAAGAAACACATAATAAATTTTAAGCTAAGAAAGCCAAATCATAGAACAATATATATATATAGAGAGAGAGTAATTCACTTTGAGTAATATATATTTATTTTTGTGTATATTTATAAAATGTATCTTATATATATATATATTTTATAAGTATATGTTTTATTATCATATATATGGTAAAAAGGTATGTGTGTCTAGACATGGTTACAGGGAAATTTTTGCTATACCCTTCTGTATTGCTTATAATAAAACAGACACTTAAATAATTAAAAATTTAATCTGGGTTAGAAAAATGTACCTAAACTAAGTTTATGAGGTAAACCTTCAGGCATGTGCTTAATCAATCTAACCATTAAATGAAATTAAAAATATATTATGCATTTATATTTAGTCTCATTTAGCAGTCCAAGAACTTTCAAAAGGTCAAATACAACTAGAAATTCCAAATTAACCTATCTTACTTAACGTGGCCAACTTGCCTGGCACACCCAGACAAGGGGCTGTTGGCAAGGCTGATCTGGCTGCACTGATGCTTGCCCACCACGCCCTGGGGGGAATCAGGGCTTTGAGCAAGGTGATCCTAGTTTATCACAAGTTCACCTCTCTTAGGCAAAAGCAAGGGACTGTGACCAGCTTCCCTGAGCCATTAGCTGCTCTGGGGAGTGGAAAACTCTTCGCACATACATGAAGGAAAAGTAATTACCCAGGCAGGCTCTTGGGGTTTCTAAATTGCTATGTTTAATTCATGAGGTCAGAGCTGCCAAAACCTTGGTCGATACCATAGCAAGAACAGAGAAGGTATCTGGGGTCAGAGCAGATGAACAAGCCTTCTCTGGGTAAGAGAAATGGCCCTGGTGTACTTGTACTAGCTAATCTACTCCTTACACTCAGCTCAACCAGTGCACAAGGGACTCCATCAGATTGTGGCCTTTCACCTTTCAGATGCAGATACCCCCCTTCCCTCTGCCTTCAGGGCAAACCCTCCTAGGAGGTCCCCAGAGCTTCAGAAGCCCCCAAGGCTCTAGGGGAATTACCTGGTACATGATGGAGGAAGGGGGAGGCTCGATACATGGCTGCTGGTCGGGGAGGGGCAGCTCCTCCAGCAGGTCCACATTGGATAGGGCATCTTCCAGGGTGACGTGGGCGGCCATGGCTGCAGGTTCTGTATCCCGCACCTAGGGAAAGGAAGAGAAGCATTTCAGGGGTCTGCAGACACCACTCCAATCTCACCCTGTCCAGGCTCCTTCCAGAGAATAGATGGAATTAACATGCATTGTAACCAACTGCACCTGATATTTGAGAATCTCTTACAGTTTGCTTTTTTATGTCTATTGTCTCAGCTAAGCCTCACCACAACCCTCTGTGATTATCATGGCAGGTGGTGTTTTATCCACGTAACTACTAAACGAAGACGGCTCAGAGAGGTCATGTGAAGTCCATGCAACCAGTGACCATGGGCCAAGGGCCTCAGATGACGCCTGATGCTAGGACACAGGCCACGGTCACCTCCCAGTCTTTGTTCTTCAGGTGGATATTTATCAGTTCTTCTCTTAAATTATTGCACAGCACAAATATCCATGATCAAGACAGCCAAGATTATCAACCTGAAATCACAGCCTAGGCTTTATGACTAATTAAATTGGGATTAAAAGAATTGACTCCAGCATAATTAATCTTATTTACAAAAAGAGAATAAAAATATTTGCAATTGTCTTCCTTGGGTTGGCTATATTTTATAAAACACACCAAACAAATCAGCCCTAAATGGACATTTTTGTGTCTGGACCCTGGCAGAGTGCAGTGGCTTGGATGAGGACTTTGCCAGGCAGTGAAGATGAAGACGAGCTGAACAACACAGGCACCCAAATCAAGCTACTTGCTATTTTAAGAACTCAGCACCCAGCAAACAGAATACTCATTTTTTAAGCACATATGAAACACTGATAAAAAATTACCGTGATTTAGGTCATAAAACAGGTTCTCATAAATTCTCCCAAATATGACCTCCTATAGGTCACATTTACTGATTATGTAGTGTAATAAAATCAGATATCAAGGATGCAAATTATAGTCAACCCCCCATACCTATGAAAATTTGTCAAAACATACTTCAAGGTTATTCATAGCTAAAAAAGTATTCAAATAGAAATGATAAAATATTTAGAACTAAGAGAAGATGAATGTTATAAATGCATTTAGTAGAAAATAGGTGAAACTGACTGGCTCTAATTTCCCACTTAAAAATCTAAAGAAAAAATAGAAATCAACCCAAAGAAATGAGAATTCATGGATTGTAATTACAAAAAGCAGAAATAAATGAAGCAAATAAACACAGCAAAGCAGAACAAAGAGTAGACTAGGTGAACAAAAATCTTAAAATGGGGTTTTATAAAAATACTACTACTACCTACTACTAAGCTCACCCTTCAGCACATTTGAGTAAGGAAACAAAGAGAAGGCCCACTGCCCTGAAAGCTGGAGCGCCCCTCACTCCCCATCCCCATCCCAGACCCAGGGAGGTGTGAGACAGATTCAAGGGCTGGAGTTTGTCTCACTCATCAGGATGTGTTGCCAGAGGCCAGGGCAGAAAAGGGCCGCTGACAGGAACAGTGGGTCTGGCAGCCACGAAGGCCTGAAACAGCGGCAGAGCTACCCAACGGTGAGCTGCCCTAAACTAGCATCTCCTTTAGGCCTGTGGCTGGGAGGGCCGATGGGGCGGAGAAGCGGAGGGTGCTTCACACTTCACGGAGTTCTCTGCACACCTTCCTGCTGCTCTCTGGCAGCAGCGAAGGTCACGTACAGTGAGTACACAGGGAGCTCTGAAGGGACTTCCGCCTCTGTCCCTGGCAGGTGCCTGGCCTCACGGGGGTCGTTTCTCTCCACACCTATGCTGCTTCCTCTTCTCTCCCCTGAACGGAAAATGTGGCATCCAGTTCTACAGCAAAACCATTTGCCAATCCACAAAAAAGACTGTCTTCTTTCTTAATGAACATTAAGTTCATTTTACAGGAGGGGTTAATGATTGTACAGGGGCTAATGATCTACAACCACCAAAGTCCTAATAGTTCCCTTTATAAATTCAAATAATAATAATAACAATGAAACAAACAAATATTTCTTTAGCCTTTACTCTGTGTCAGACATTCTGCCAAGCACTCAACTATTTTAATCTTACATCACCCCTATAAAGGTAGGTGCTCTGCTTATTTCCATTTTACAAATGAGCAAACAGAAGCTAAGAATTTAAGTAATTTTGCAAGGCCAAGTGCCAGTAAGTGTGGAGTCAGGACTGGAACCCAGGTCTCTCCAGCCCCAGAGTCTGTACTTCCTCCCAAGTGCTCAGACTCACACTACGAGACCACGCATAGTGGCTGGAGGGCTAGCCCAGGCTGGGCTCTGGGCGAGGTCTTTTCAAACACGGTGCATTAGTGGTCCTTCATCCTGCTTGTGCCAAAGAATCACACACACAGCTTCTTTTTTTTTTTATTAAGTTATTATTGATATACACTCTTATGAAGGTTTCACATGAAAAAACAGTGTGGTTACTATATTTACCCATATTATCAAGTCCCCACCCGTACTCCATTGCAGTCACTGTCCATCAGTGTAGTAAGATGCCACAGATTCACTATTTGCCTTCTCTGTGCTACACTGTCTTCCCTGTGACCCTTCACACCATGCACACACACAGCTTCTTAATAATAAAAGGTCTGGGTTCCATCCACAGTACCTGGAAGACTGAATTTTAAAAAAATCACTACACCTCATTTATAACAAGACAAATCCAGATTAAAATTACATGGAGATGCCATTTCTCATGACAGATTGGCAAAAAAGCCGTATGTTGAACAACACATACTTGTTGGAAAGACTATAGAGAAACAGGCCCTCTCAAACACTGTTCGTGGGGATGTGAAATGCCACAACCCCTATGGAAGGAAATCTGGCAATATCGAATAAACTCCTATAAGCATTTTATCCTGTGACCAGCATTGTAGGAATCTAGCCAAAGACGCGGTGACGAAAATGCAAGAAGATATTTGTGCAAGGCTCTTCACTTCAGCACTACCTGTAATAGCAAAAGACTGGAAATTGCAAATGTCTAATCAGCAGAGGACCATCTGAATAAACCATAGCACAGCTATACAGTTTTTTACTATGAAAAACTGGGCAGCAATAAAAAGCAATGAGGAATCTTTCTACATTTGCAACTATGGGGTGATCTCCATATGCTGTGTACAGTATGCTCTCATCTGTCTAAGGGTGATGATGCACATACATGCACACTTCTTATATTAAAAAACAAATAATGGAAGGATTAACCATATAATTTAAAAAATTGGCTACCTATAGAGAAGGGGGAAAAGCAGGGAGTATGGTTAAGGGGGTAGGGATAGAAGCCAGAATTCTTTGACTATATCTTGTGTTGTAGCCTGAACTTTGAAATCACATAATTTACATAATTATAAAATAAAATTTAAATTTAAACAGCAACTCCCAAAACAAAAAGTAGTGTTAAACAAATGAAGGCATATGTGTATTAGTTGTTGACATAACTACAGAAGGGACCTAGTCCCAGTGATTTTAAAATTTGGAAATCTGGTCCTACATGCCTGGTGGGACATACTCTAAAAACAACAAAAAGAGTTGCAAGAAGATCTCTCAAGCTTTTTTCCTAATTATACTGGTGCACTGTTGTGGTGAGAATGTTTGAATGCGATGCGAGGTAAAAGAAATGAGTGATTTTGGAATGCTCTAATTCTTTTCATTCCTGGTGATGAGAACTGGTATTCCTGACATGGGAGAAAGGAGGTACAGGACCACATAAAAACCTAATCCTGAATGTGGATTTGAGATATCAGTAGAAACTCATAGTGTGTTTTAACTTAAAAGATAAATATATGTATACACACATACACATGTTTGTAAGTATATGTGTATTTATTTCTCAACTCTGTCAACTGAAAAGATCAAGAAACAATAACCAGGCCATAGGCAGAGAGCCTGCTGGTGCCCAGGCTGGGTATGCACACACCATGGACTCTGCTGAAAGGGTCAGTGCTCCTTGAAGAAAGAGCTGAGCCCAGGTTTGGGACAGAAAACATATTAGAATGGTCTAGAACAGCAGGTTTAGGAAGGAAGCAGCTATCTACCTATGACTGGGGTCGTAGCCAAGCGACCCAGGAGCCAACCTGAGGCAGCTTCCACTGGCCCAAGATGGGGCGATGTGAACGCTGATGGCAAAACTTAATGGACTTGAAGCTATATCAAATATGTTTAAATCCATGAGCTCATAAAGACACCCAACAAAAACTTGGTTTTATTACTGCTGGAGGATACAAATTTTATGTTGAAAATCAGTAAATGAAAGAAAAGAAGCAAAAGTTGAACCTGCTTTTACCATGCACTGGGGAACCAGACTGGTTAGAACAGGGTGTTTCTCTCCAAATAATTTTTTTTCAGGAATACTGACAATTAAAATGTCCCTATTTTCCAACCCATAATGAACAAATGGATGTAGGCCCTGATCAACTGCTGCTAACATCACTAAAAGAAAGTCGGTTGGACATCACACAACTCCTGATGGAAAAACACACCATCACCTTTTGAAGAATGCCAGACCCTAAGTAAAACACTTGAATTGGATGAAGCCTTTGATATCAATTCACAGGAAACAGAGGACAGAAGAAAACAGTAAAGTACACCACAGTGATATATAATTAGTAAAATACAATCTATGGGAAACTCTGCTGGACAAATGACTCAACACCTTCAACAAATAAATGGCATCAGGAAAAAAAGATAGAGGAGGAAGCTATAGATGATGAGAGACTTCACACAGACTAGGGCAATGTGTCAGCTTTATTCTGGTCCTGTTTCAGACAAACCACCATAATAAAACTGACAATATTTGTGAAAATTAGAAAACTTAATAGTAACCGCATATTTGAATATTAAGGAAATATTATTTTTTAGATATGACGATTATGTTGAGGTTTTGTTTTAAGAGTCCTTATCTTCTAGAAATAGCTACTAAAATATGGATAAAATGATGCAGGGATTTGCTTCCAAATACTAGATGGGGATAAAGTGAGTAACAGATGAAAGAAAATTGGTCACGAGTTAATAAATGTTAATGCTGTGTGATGCTTACATAGAAGTGTATTATATTTCT